GCAGGCTACACTTAACCGTGATGGGTGGTGGGTCCATCCAAGGAACTTACCTGGACGAAGCGAGCGTCATCGTCCGGTAATGGCGTTTCACTGACAGGGATGCGGAACAGCGCCAGGCATTTGTCTCATCATGTTGGCCAGCGACATCTGTCACGGGCTTGAATCGCTCGCTCGATTATATAGAGCCATAAACGACCCTTGGGGGTTGGATTGTTAATCGCCGCCGCCGTCGAGGGAATTCCCTCTGTCCTTTATATGTAGTGTGAATTAGTTGTAATGGCAAGCATTTTCTGGAACGATTGTTTTTTTGGGAAGTTCTCAATTAATTTTTATGTAAAAAAAAGTCATCTTTAGCTTCAGATTTCAAACTAAATTTACACATTAAAGTCCCATTCGTTTTTTTCTATACCTGAATTCACAACTAATATGGGAACAGTCTGTATACTTGACTATTGCCGGCAACTTATTATTGCTGTTGTCGACCGCAACGAATGTGTAAATACAAATAACAGTAAAGTAATAATATATGGGGGGTGTGGATCTGTTTATTTTCCTTCCGCTCGATTATAACACGTGCCATTTCGCTGATGAACTTGCCGAGATAAAGCCTCGTTGGGTCGGAGTGTGGTGGAACGCCCATTCTAGGCTTTCACGGGTCGAAGATCGAGTGATTGCCCGAAAAGGGATTTTTATAATCGATCGTGCCGTCCAATTTTAATTAAAATTACACCGATTTTACACCATTTCAGAGTAATAGCTTTTTTTTATCTAATTAATATCAAAGGCGTCAATTAAAATTCACAAAGGACGAGTGTATAACATCCTTTACACTTACCTAAATCTGCTCTGTTTTAAATGTAGATTTCTTCCAAAACAATGTCTAGTCATGTGGGCGTATTGCTTTTAACAGTAATAATATCTTTACTTATTCTAAACGTAAAGATTATCCCAGAAATCGGAAACTTGTACATTGTGGGGCAGTATATTATTATTACTCAGAAAGCCGCAGTTGCGCCGAGGAACGACTTACACTGATAAACTCTCTCACATTGACCTAAGTCACCGTTCTTCCATCGAAATATAAAATGTAATAATAAATTATACAATTTTACATTATTTATCATGAAGCATGTGGGTTTTTAATTTTATCAAGTAGCAACACTTCATCCTGTGTAGTCCTCACATTATGTCCGTATTATTTCATCATTTTCCTCATTCTGTACGACATTAATAAAACACCCTGGTCATTTGTACATTTCACCCCAACTTTCATTAACTCTAACCCTAATTCATATCATGATGGAGCGCATTTCTGAAATAATACAACATCCCAAAATTCGTTTCATTGCTTTACACGAAAACCGGGCAAAACGAACCCCTAAAACAAACCTGCTGGCCTTTTATTGTAAACCCGGTGTTTAGTCTTCGTTACGTGCGCTGTTTTCTATACATTATCGCACGGTGGTCGAGACAAAGCAAATCTGATGAATTAGAATTGTGTGGAGATGACCAGCAACGTCGATACCGTTTGCTTTTATTCTCGGTTTGTGTGCTCGCTTTGATACGAACTGTTTAGGACATTTTAAGGGGTGAGCTACTTTGATTAGTTAATTCTGCGTTTGACAGGCAATTCCTAGGTGTGACGAGATATTAATTTATATGTTCCTTTCTCCTTCCAGCATCTTTTATCTCCATCTAACGTAATGTACCTGTGTTTATTTCACCATCAACTGCATTGCTGTTAACTGTAACCACAGTCTTGATTAGCTTATTTTCTACTTCGCGATATTTTCACATATTAGCGATTTCTCCTACCTGAAGCGTGTTTGTTCAGAGGAAAAAATTAAAAGGATATCATGTGGATATCGCCCGCGCCATCCCAGGGGATCATCTCACAATTTGCCCGGCCTGTTTACTTGGCCGCGTTTGTGTTACTAATTTCTTCCAAGTTCTCGGCACGACAAGGGTATAAGTTGAGCCGAAACTGGAACCCCAACTCAAATTAATCTCTTTAGCGTGTCGCCTTGATAACTTTAATTGCTTATTTCGCCCAGACTTTCCTAAAAAATAACGGGAAATAGCCTGCGTGACTATCTTTCCCAGTTTCCAGCAGAAGCGAATAATGGCTGAAAGCCCGGAATGAGAGAAAAGTGAAACAAAACTAAAATAATGAATTCTACAACACAATATCATTATTTTATTTCTCGGTGGATTATTTAATTTCTATGTTGGTGTTGGTATAATTACAGTATGCTTCAGATTGAACGGAATAACATTGCTGTTCCTTGTTTTTTCATTTGGTCTAGAGTAGATTTTGTTCTCATTGGTCTCTATTAACAGCCGTTTCATATAATTGAGATATCTCGAAAATAAGTTTTCAATTGTGGCTCTTTAACTGGGAAATAAAGTTTACGATTCGTTGTTCACCGTTCCTGTTATACTTACATAAAAGTATTTATAGAGGGCCATAAAATGTTGATCTTTTAAGAAACGCTCTACAAATGTGGTTGTGTTTATTTCTTTTTATGCAGATCCATTCATTTTTTGTAGATTATCTTGGATAAAAGCAGTGATAAAAGGGCAGGCAGGAGCTTTTTACGTTAGGCGCAATTCCATGAAAGTTATTGGATTTGAATAGACGCTTTAAGAGACGAAGATGTTTTACTTTGAATACATTCAATTTTACAGAAGTTTCTTTCATTATTGCGTTTAGATAATTTATTGTTGTCTAAGATTTTCACCCACGAAATACACTAGCATATGCAGAATATAAGAATTGTCTAAACTGTTTTTTAAATATTATCGTTGAAATTAAAAAGCAGAACTTGGATAATGCACACAACTTGGCTACGTCTCATCCACTGCATCCACTCAGAAAAACACAAGCGAATGGAACTACGTCTTCATAATGAATGTCTATTAACCACGATCCCAAATAAAAACCCTTGGAATTCCTAAACGTTATTCAGGTCGATGGAGGTATATCGTTTATGTCTAAATGTGGAAGCAATTCCAGATACTCAGGTAATTTCAGAGCTTATTACTTTTGGGGATGGAAATGGAAAAGGCCGTTAATTTGCTTTGCGGCTCCAGTGACGGTAGTAAAGCGTTGGTTTCATCTTATTCCACATGATTTCATTCACGATTCAGCATTAAACTATCGACTCTATTAGAATTTATATTAAAATGACTAATACCAAAACCATCACTCTAAATAATATCTAATAGAATAAATCTATTATCTAGTGTGTCTACAAGAATTTTTTTCTCTCATTTATAATGATTTATTTCACTCGCTTGTAATATAATGTACTACTGCTCACTCCTTCAGAATTGTACATACAAAATTAGATAGGCTTAGTACTTTAATAACTAAACGTTGCGGTAGATATTATCATTCTTACAACTATCATCTACCCATTATTCTATGAATCTGCATGGGTTGTACGTCCGTTCAAAGCGCACATCATAAATTGCCCTGAACTTAGCCTGTCCATCTAATTTCTATTAATTTGTCACTTATTTATTTACGATATCAGTTTGAGCTTATCCTTCATCATACGTCTCCATCAGATAAACTATGACATTGTAAGTAATTACCTCAGTACAAAAGAATCGATAGTTATACGTAATCTATTATTATTCGGGGAAAATTATTACTTCTCGAAGTCGATGCAACTAATTTTTGCAGAGATAATAGAAATACCGGCGTTATTATTTTCCCTTGGAAATGACACGTTGCTTAATTACACCATTTCGCCGGAGGACCTTAATTTAACATCTAATTGGGTTGCTTTCTGTTTAGCAAATAACATTAAAAGGAATTAATTAAACGTTGTTTCCTGTGGAATATTCCATTCGCATATTTCAGTTTATTTTAACGATGCAAATCTTGGTCATAGGAATATTACAGGTGATCAATCTTCTGCTTTCAAACAGTTGAACGCAGTGCAAATATAATAATGATTTGTTGTAGTTAATAATTCGTCCACAATAACGTACATTCACAACTCGCGCTAAGCGTGCACAGTAATGGATGATACTGTTCTACTCTACATGCTCCGTTGACTATTTGCGCTTGCGTATTAGTAGTATAGTAATGTTCAATTACAGCATACAAACGCCAGTTGTTAGGGAAGCCCCGCTTCCAGTGACACTCTTTATAAATATAAAAATCCCTTTCTCACAAATTTGGAAGCATTAACATTATCCGCTCATCGCTTCCGTTTCTCGGGAGGCGTGCCTTGAATTTTTGGAGGCATTTGCATAGCGAAGGGATACATTTCCGCATATGGAATTTATTCGCATCTGCCGCGGTCCTAAGCGAGATAAACGACCCTTCTACGGCTAATAATGCATCTCTAGAACGTAAATCTTATTGCTAAGTGCTAGAATCCATTTCTAGTTCTATACATTTTATATAAATGTGATGCCGTACAACAATCCCTATCCAAGAACGAAGATAACTAGTAGAATACCAAGAAGATATAATGAGGGGCGGATCATATATATTTTTTAAACGTGACAACAGTAAACGACAGATGTACCGGTATTGCGGGATTTTTTAACGCTAATTGTTATATACGTTTTAACTTTCTATCCCGTAGAATGTAAAATTAATGTAAATAATGATAGAAAGTCTCACGTTTTCTTTATAAACCGCCTAACTTTTCTAATTCGACTTGCACATAACTTAGATTCACTTAGAACGTACCGTACGAAGTTTTAGAGCTTCTAGTTCAGTTGGATGACGTCAAAGCTAACTTTGTAGAGTCCCCAGATGAATGACAATTACGTAGGTTACATAATCTGCTCGGGAATATCCTCGACGCAGGGAAATTAATAAATATATCGGATCTAATGGGACAAATAAATTTAAGGTATCCCAAGACCGTTACATACATAGGTATTGTATTTTTGAAACCCAGAGAGTTGCACGAAACTAAATTTGTACAGAACATATTGAATACTATTGACTGTTTTTGTCTATTCCTTTGCAGAATGATGGCAGCAGCAATGGCGGGGAACCCCAGTTGGACGAGGAATGCGCGAAGGTCTTTGCCATGGACACCGACGTACCTGGCTTCGACTTCCATGATACCCCCTTCTCTGGCCAACCGAAATATGGAGAGAAAGATTACATGCGTAAGTATCGTACACCGTTTGGTTTATTATAGAACTTGGCAATATTTTAAGGGTAGGTTAATCACAAACGTGTTGGATAAGGTCGTGATGCGAAAGTGTAACAATGACAACTTCTGTTCCCGAAGAATATTGTATCATAATAACTGTGGCATAAATAGCTTCTGTAACCCCTATCACTCCTGTCAAACAAGTTTTTGCTCGTCGTGCTGTATATTCGCGTTTCGTTCATGGAACGTGTTACTTAGGTTATCGCGGGTAGATACCTCTTGAACAGAAAATTTACATATTTAAATATAATCAATGCCACACTCGTTCCGAAGGTACTGCGGGAATAAAGGCATTCGGTGGGCTAAGAACTATTCCGTTAGGGTGGATAAATATGTTTTAGACTTTAACTTCATCTACATGCAGATAGGGTCAATTTTCAAGGGAAGGGGACAAGGGTAGGTGAAGTGTCTATAAGAAAATCGTGTTCCTATGTCGATCCCTTCGAGAAGTACAAGGCGTTTTTTATTTTTCACTTCTCTTGTCGTTGGTACCGTAAGAGCATGTACCGTATGTTCATAAGCGAAGTAGCTGATTAAAGTATGCAAATATTTTGTTTTCCCAGCTCATGCAAGTACTTTTAAGGCTTAACAAACAGTGGAATCGACGTAGCGTTTAAGCTCACTGCAAACACAGTTCCTTTTTTTTAAATCTACCGACGCGGTTTATGAAATATGCTGACACGAATTTAAATTTAAATTAAGCTTTGTTAAGAATAAGTTTTATAATTTCGAAGTAAACCTAATGACTTTGTGTATAGAGTGTAAAGTAATTTACAAGAAAATAGTCGACTGTTGCGTTTCGGAGATATAAACCAAACTTTTGTTTTTTTTTAATGGAGCACTCTGTATATTTGCCGCTTATTGAGATCCTCTGCTTTTTCTAAATCTAAACAGATCTTTAATACTTTATTATGAAAAAAGTACTATACTATAAAAAGTGTTTTATAATAGCCTCATTATGCAAATGCACTTTCATTGCACAGATAATACGCTTTTAACTTGAGCGTAACATACAACGCATTAAGTTAGATACAATCAGAAGCGCTTAAAAGAGATACACCGTCAGCGACAATAACAAATCCACACAATCCATACTTTAACTCATGAAACCTTTACACGAAAGTACAATTGTCAACAAAGTACAAATATTATGGCAACTTAATTTCTGTAACCTTCAACCTAACTTGTTGGCAAATATTTCAGTACATTATGTCAATTACTGATAAATTCTCGGCTTTGGTTGAAATATTTTAACTGCTTGCAATTAACTAAATTCCTCGCTCGATTCTTCCTCACAATAATCGCTAATTGATCTAGTTCTGTAACTTTAATAATTAATACCCAAGTTTTGCCAATTAGCTGAAGATATTATTAAAGTGTTAGCAGCTCGTTTGATTAGCGTTTACGTCAGTTGGCGAGCTTATGTAAGAGCTTTCGTAGAAATTTCATTTTATATTATTTGCTTGTTTATTTTACGGAATTATTTGTAAGTAAGATGTAAGTCGTAATTTATTGTGCTACAAGGATATTTTTCCAGGGTTTTAACTGTTGGCCAAAGTTGGAAATAAGGGTTTAAGGGTTTGCTATGGTTAATACCTCAATTTGTTTACAAAATATAAAAAAAACAGAAACACCAACCTTCTTTTAATTCTGATGTTTTAAGGGCATGAAGTTAATTTCAAAAATTCAAAAATTAAAAAAATATATCAAATGAAGTCGATGTTCTTCAAATCGAAAAATATAGGACCTATGTAAAGATATGTTTGCGTACTGAATTTCAAAATATTTTTTTGTCTCCGTTTTAAAAAACAAGAGCTGTTTAATTTAGGGAATGAACTCGTACCACCGAAAAAACAATTTACCGTCAAGGATAATTAATAAATCGGAGGTCAACAGCACTTAATTCATTATTTATGTTTCAATGCGGTAAAAAATTATTTATCAAAATGATAACCGTTTAATATTTTACCAACGCAGTTACTGGTAGCCCTGACGTAGACTTAGAAATCAACACCGTTAAAATAAACTCCAATAACATGATTACCACACTTATTTTATCTTGTATCATATGAAACAAATTATTTTAGAAAAGGGGACAACGACAGGCTTGAAGCTTACCCTTAAAAAACAGTTTTCGTGTGAAATCAAATTCCTAAAGTTCCTGTAACTTTCGTAATGTCAGTAGCAACGAGATTTAAATGTAATATCGCCGAATAAAATTTCGGCATTTCGAGAAAAGTTTTAAATTGGTTTTACCGAGCTTGCTTCCAGCATTCGAGTAGTTCAGGCTTCGACGACAATTTTTTTTTGCCATTTAGTAGGTTCAGTAACATTATATTTAGTTATTAAACCCATTTTCATCTGATGTGATCGATTAATTAAACAAAATTGTTCCTATAGATTTGGTTTTAACTCAACGTTTAAATTTTTTTTGTTGAAAATATTAACCAAACCGTCGAAAATCACTTGTCTTTTGATGAAAAAACAATGCTTGTATTATAAATCTGTTCCCTCATTGTTATTTTTTTCGCAAATTAATGTATTTTGATCCCACGTAACTGACCAAAGTTGGAACATTGTTCCTCTCGTTGAATATGCAAATTTTTCCACGTTTCAATGTAATGGAAATGTAGGTATTCTGGAGGAGAAAAACAACATGACAGAAATAGAATATGTAGGAATATTAATTTTAACAAAAAAATTCATTCGTATGCCAAGAAAATGTACATTAAATTTTTTTCGTTCCAACAGCAACAAAAAATGTAATAAGTCGGTAGAAAAAATTTCCCAATCTAATTACCTTTTTATTAGCTTAAAAGGGCGCCATGTTCGAGTGTAAAATTTATTTGCCAAGGGACGTAAATAACCATTTCGCGCAAGTAAAATATTTGCCACTTAATTTCTTTTTCTCCCAGTTCTCAGTTGGGAATCATCGGGAAAGCTTCGTTACTTCTTGGCTGTCTCGCGATTCTCGATTTTCACTTTTAAATACTAAACAGGTCTTAATAAATGGTCACTGATAATTTAAGGCTATTCATTAGTCCATTGGTGGTGGTGGATGTGCGTGTTCTTTAGTATGAGCCAAAAAAGTGCATTTTTCTCGCAACTTTCAGTCAATTGCACTAAAAATATTTTGATGAGGAACACATTTTTCTTTCATTATACCCCTCAAACCACACTCAAACACAGTTGATATTTTTCCATATACAAATCTCTAACTTTTATCTCTAACCGATTTAAAGATAATTAAGAAGAATCCCTTTTCAAGTAACAAATTGAACATTATAATATAATATAACCCTCACTATTTTTCCGAGAAGAATTCCCACTCTGTATTTATGTGAATTGGTGTCCAAGTAATAAATGTCGGGCAATTTATAAAAATATAATTACCAACCTCCCGAACAAAGTTATTTCCGACCCGAAAGGGCAAAATTCGTGTTTCGTTTCGTTCTGTATTACCCCGCCATGGAAAGGTAAAAATAAACACTTGACCCTTTACAAATACGGTTATTTTGCGATTCAGCTGAAACTCCTCACCTCCTAATCGCCAGAAATGCTCATAAAAGCTTCCGTAATTACCAAATTTCACGTTATAAATTCCAATTAATTTTTAAACGCGTTTGTCTGTATAATTTTCTCTCTCGCCTCCCATTTTAGCCATCCGCTCGTCCCGACATTGTTAGCTCGACACAAAGAAAGCTCGTGGCACTGCCGAGGCGGCAAAGAAAACGGAAAGAGATAAAAAATGATTTATTATATAGCCAATCCAGGGATTATCCCTGGAGATTCCATACAAAGACCTCGCGGTGATTGATACTGGCTCTGATTCCACTGTACAGTTATTTATACCCACACAGTATTTATGCTACGGCTAAGAGATATTATGCTCCTTACACGAATGGAAGTAAATGACGGAATTGACGTGGATTTGGATCTCCTTCAAGATCGCTTTTTGTGACTGTTTTGTTGTTAGAAGGGAGGGTGATAATGTTCAAATATTAACATTAGTAAAACCATTCAAGTTTATAGTAAAAATCCTCGTAGTTTATTCACTTGAGAATAAAAGTAGACCAAGATTAGAACCCTGAGCTACACCGGGAGTATAATTCTTAGATGCACAGGCGTTACATTCTACAAATTGTTGTCTGTCTAACAAACATGATTCAAATAATGCTGTTCTCTTAATGTACCTGCACCTTGCAACACTCTGTATAGAGATTACGTCATTATGCAAATTATAAACCTCCAGATTTCGCTATTTATTTTTTCTCAGACTAATACTAATTTTATATGAATCCGCAAGTCCGTACCAGTCGACGTTACGTCTGTTGTGATTCGCGTGCGTAAATTTCGGGAAATACGAAGACATTTGGTCTATTAAGCTGCGGTATAATTTCTGGGCATAGTTTAACTGCTTCCATAAATAAATTTGTTGATACAGGTTGCAGTCATCGTTAACTATTCGTTTCAGAGAATTTATCGAAAGTAATAGAATATATCCGGAATAAAAAAAAAACTCTGGCGGTTTACAATTCTTCATCTTCAATCTTTAAAAGCTTCTATTTGCAGTGAAAACAATTATTTTTTAATATCTGCGTAATTTCTTTATTAAAATGACATTTCTCAATTTTTTGTAACAAAAAAGACGTTCAAAATTACTTACTAGACAAGCGCCTGTTTGTGAGTGTAATATCTTCTTTAGGGGATACAAAATTGACTGTTTTAGTCTTAGATTTTCATCGTTCTCGATTCACTGTACTAAACAAACAAAGCTGTTCTTGTTTACATTGAACCAGCTAATTTGATTTTAAAATCTAATGAAACAAATCCGGTATAAAACTGCTTCATTTAGATAAATATAGATTAAATCTGTTTGTTTACATAAAGTAGGTCGTATAAGAAATTGAACGGAAAGTAATGTATTTTTTAATGCGTAAACGACTTTTGAATTTACCCTGAAATTGAATTGTCAAGGTTATTACGGCTTTAATAGAAATATTTGTGATTTATTACATATTTATTAAAATAGTAATTTAGGTAATCGAGTTTTTAAAAGGATTTTAATAAACTTTTTTTTTTCAATTCAAGAATTGTAATTAAAATTGTAAGTGAAGCGGATCAAAGCCCTCGAGAAAATGTAATTACGACTTATTTACACCTTCTGTATTTCAAATATAAAATTTAACTAACTGTAATTTCTCAACAAAATGACCTTAATTTGCCCCTGAGAACGTATATTCATACATTTTGGGCCAAACCATCGTAGCATAGAACGAGTCAATTTGCTCATATTCGGATTAGCAACGCGATTTTTTTCGAAAATTCAAATTAACCGCGTTTTTTCTTCGGACAGATCACGGTTCGGTTCTGCAGACGAACAAGGATGTTTTTTTCTTCGGTTCGTGCGCTAGCTTGTTTATATTGACTATTGATAAACAACAGAAATGGCAATGGCCAGCGGCCAATGATTGGGTCTAGCGAGGTTATAGGAAAACTTAGTTTTTTTTATGATTTGTCTTTTATTTAATTACTCTTTTGATGTAAAACAGTATTTCCAGTCAGTGCTGTTAATCCAATTATACAGATAGGTCAAAGATTTCACGGAACGTGAATATAATTATTTAATAATGGGGTTTAGTCTCTACGAAGTGTTCGTCGGTTGCGAAACTCCAATTACATTCGTCTACCGCGCCAACTGACAATGCGGTTTTGATTTTTTAAATTAATGATGTTGAGAGACTAGGTAGCGTTCTAGGATAATTCGTGCATCGTAAACATGGTTATCTTTTCTGCTTACGAATCCAGGCATCATGTGGGTAAGAAATTTAAGATATTTTAACAGTATCGACGAGAAATTGTATTAAGGTAGTATGGTCCGTTTGTTTCTAGGCATCCTATGAAACATATTACAGTTATTTACAGTTTTTGAATCTTAATATATGTTTACATCTCAGCAGTGATAGGTACTAACTTTCACAAATTTACTTAGTATTAGCCACAATTATCAAAAAATGTACTACAGCATCAAACGGAGGTTAGGAGAAACCGTATCTTGATATTTACTTGTCTTTAGCAGCTTTAATTTCAATACTAACACTTTTTCCGCTAAAAATCCATGCAGTTTGTGATGCACTCAATACATGCCGTCTGGTAAGTACCTATCAATATATCTGTAGTGAATAGGGAAGATCAAAGTAACACTTCTGCTCCAGGCAATTGATTTTTCTAATGTTCCTCCTGTCGGACATGTCTCCAAAAGGGATATCTAGATATTCGCATTCTGGATTCTAATTTTAAAACTGCATTGTATGTTTATATGTTAAAACTAGGTATCTAGAAATAGACTGATCCCGAGGGCAAATATTTTGAGATATTCATAATTTCTTAAAAAATGTAGGTACTATTTTATTTATTTCGATAAAATAAAAGGTGTTTGAGATAAATCGGTTGTTCTTGAGCTATTAACTAATATATACTAATTAATTATTAATTAAAAAGTAAATTTTAATTGTTGCAGTCCGTTTAAAAAATCGAAAACCGTTTATTTCATGGAAATAAACGAATATTTACTTTTGTTGAAGAAAAATCTGTAACGTATAAAAATAATATATTCAGTCCATTCCGGATACTTTGCCATAGTAAAAAAACAGTTTTTTTATCACCAAATCATGAAGCCCAAAATATACAAGGTAGTTTCAGATTTATAGGATATTAATTATAGGATTTTAAAAGGAACTTATGACGTTCAAGATATTTTATTACATGAATCATTCAAATAGTTATTTTAGATGAAAAAACCTCGGAGTGCTATTAAATTGGAGGGTGGAATTTGGAGATAGGGGTGAAAATGCATCCCTTTCAGTTTTTTAATTGTAGCTCGAAAACGAAGCAAAATTTCGCTATAGTTTATAGGAGAAATTATTTAGAGAATTGAATTTCCCACCGAAATGACTAATTTAAAAATTTTTAAAAGGAAAATTTTATGCAAAAATCGTTAATAAACAATTTGAAAAAAAGCAAATAATTCGATTTTTTAATTTTTTTTACTTTTTTGCCTCCAGTTTTTTTCGATAAGTATAAGTAGATAAAATTTCCTTCAAAATAAGGTTGTAAAGTATTTTTGGATGAAAATTGACTGATATATGAACGAAAACGAAGCAAAAACTCGGTATAGTTCATAGGAAAAATTTTGTGGAGAAATGAATTTCCCATCGAAATGGCTCATTTAAAAAATTGAAAAGGAAAATTTTATGCAAAAATCGTTAATAAACAATTTGAAAAAAAAGCAAAAATTTCGATTTTTTTATTTTTTTTACTTTTTTGCCTCCAGTTTTTTTCGATAGGTATAAGTAGATAAAATTTCCTTCAAAATAAGGTTGAAAAGTATTTTTGGATGAAAATTGACTGATATATGAACGAAAACGAAGCAAAATCTCGGTATAGTTCATAGGAAAAATTTTGTACAGAAATGAATTTCCCATCGAAATGGCTTATTTAAAAAATTTAAAAGAAAAATTTTAAGCAAAAAAATTTTTTTTATTTTTTTTTTTATTCTTGACTATTTTTTTTTAGTAGAAGTAGGCAAATGATATTGCTGTACAAAAAACTAGATGAGATTCCTTTCAAAATGATGCGTTTTTTTTAAGTTTTTGGTCTAATATTGACTATTATAACCGGTCAAACTTAAATATTCTTTAGATTTTCGTCGTTTTTAACATAATGATTTACAACAAATTGGTTCTTTACTTAATAAAAAATTATTTCAAAAGTTTTGTTTGTTAGTAATAAAGATTTTCACAACTTCAGAGTCAAAAAAGTAAAAAAAAAATCAAAAAATCTTATTTTTTACATTTTTTAAAATTGTTTATTAACGATTTTTTGCATAAAATTTTCCTTTTAAATTTCTCTAAATAATTTTTTTTGAACTTAGTGAAATTTTGCTTCGTTTTCGAGCTACAATTAAAAAACTGAAAGGGGTGCATTTTCACCCCTCTCACCAATTTCCACCATCTAATTTCCGCGGTTTTTTCATCTAAAACCCTTTGAACGGTTCATCCAATAAAATTGCTTGAACGGCATAGTTCCTTTCAACCCTATTTTTTTTTGATATAATCAATAGCCTATTAGAACCCATGACGCAAATCTCTGTATACCTCTTAGGAACCTGACATCTCTCTTAGGAAAAATATACCTACACACGAAGTCCTAGGGTTATTTTGCCCTCTACACGCTCCCGAAAGGTTACTAGATACTTCCCGGACTGTGTTCTACCTTCATCTGAATCACCGTTTCCCTTCATTTAGCGCCACCAACGGTACCATCTGGTTCACGAGTCTGATCATTCACCATCTTCATTCCAGAGCACCGCAAAAATTACCCGCACATGCACCAGCCCCTCAAGATCGGATCAAAGTCGATGAGACGCCGCACCCCGCAGCAGACCTCACCCGCCACCACCCCGTCAGTCGCCGGGACCCCCAAGGAGTCCATCACCGAATCACCCACACTAGAATTACCCGTTCCTACGGTCACCCCCTTGTCCAGCACCCAGTCCAAGCCCGAGGACTCCGACACAGGTAAGGGCGTACCTTTCGGATGGCAGGGACGCTGAAGGGTTAGTTTGGTTAGAGATTTGGAAGGATTCGCGGTTGGTGGGGGCGAAACGTAGCTTGCTTATATCGATAGAATCGAGAATAGAAAGTCTTGCGATTTTTTTATGCTTTTATTTATAATTTGTCTCATTTTATGCGAAATGCTTACTATAAGTTAAAAAATTTTTTAATTTTTTTAAATTTTCAAATCATGAAGGAACTGAAAACCGTTATTTAGCCATATTTTTCATCCCTTCTTTACTAATTTTGCAGTTTTATTCCCTTATACTAATGTCAAACTACTATTTAACTAACAAATAACATTAACACTCACCGAAAATCTAACCTGTTTGTTTTATGTAAATTGAAATAGCCTAATTATAGACATTAAAAAAATAAAATTACACACACCATACAATTAGAGTACAACTGGACTTACCAATTGACCATTTTGAACATAGGCCATTGTAAGACGGATGTAAACAATAGACCACGGTGATAAGAGCACTATGAAAACCACAGTAATAGTAAAATAAATAGGCATATGTCAAATCAAATGGGCTGAAGTTATCTCAAAAAACTTAAAACGCATTTTAATAAACATACAGCTGTGTAGTGTTTCTAGATGTAAGAACAATTTTTTCTCGAAAATTATGGTGCTTATCCCATTTTTTTTTGTATAAGTAAGTTGTGAGTCACCGCGTATAAACATTAGCAGGATTATTTTCTGCGTTTCTCCCATTATATTCAGATAAGCCTCACTCAATCAAAAAAACTTTATAAAACTTTTTAGGTAATTTCATACAGTCACAAAACTTCATCACCTTAAAAACATCCCACGAGTTCTGTTTAAATTTCTTATGGTCGCTTCACGCATAAAGTTTTAATGGAAAAATAACGTGCCCCGAATTGTTTTATCATCAGGGATGATAAAAATGAAACGCCTACCGATTGTATCTAAGCAACAGGATTGTTAGTTTCAGGCTGGTTCCATCTGTTTTTAGCGCGTCTATCAGGCCGACAAATCTACTATTCTGTCCTCGTAAAAATATATTTTTACCATCAGAACGAGAAATTGTTTTCTGTACAATCCTACATAACTTGACAGCGTCAGGAAAATAAAGTAGGTGCCCTATTTACGGAAACAGTTCATTAGAAGTTTTTTTACTTGAAAAATTGTCTAACAACACAAACTATTATACTATTATAATATTACACTTTCTTTTTAATATACGTATTTAATTATTTAATTTTTGTTGGCATTCCTTATATAGACGATTTAATAGGTGCTTATTGGCAAATCCTACTTAGTTTTTTTCACTGAAACAATATTTAACTGATACGAAGCCACAGTTTTAAAAACATAACCGTGACATAGTTTAGTTTACCCGTAAACAACTAGCCAGTACTATTGGCTATTGTTGGCACCGCCAACTTAACAACATAATAGAACACGGCAAATATTAGTAAAGGTTCCTAATCCTGAATATTCGGTACTTTTCTCTAATCAAATTACCATCTTCCGGCATAAGCATATCCCGAATCGAATTCCCCGTCATTCCGATTCCCACAAGTTAACAGCACAATTTAGTTATCCCAAGGAGACTCGTGAAACTATCGATCCCCTTTGCAGGACCTCTGGGCTCCCTGAACCAGGAAGAGACGGACACGGGCGATAACAGTTCGGAATCTGAGTGCGTGCTCTCCGACCCCTGCAACTACCTCACCCACGAAGATGACGGTCAGTCGCCGGAGCGCAAGGTCTCCTTCGTCAACACCGAGAGCTCCGACAAGTTCGACGTCGAGGGGCTCAAGGACAAGAAAAAGCGGTGAGTTGTACAATTTGTTACAAATGCAACGCATATAACCTTTTCTCTAATAGAAATAGAGGTCTAGTGTGAGGGAAGGGACGGTATATTAGTACTTTGTGTGGGAAACTGCGCACAAACTTTATACCTATAACACAATGATATTCAACTACTGAGATAATTATAATAAATATCTCTTAGATACCAGTTATTGTTAGTGCCATATTACGCAACGTCTATTACCATATCCTTGCTACGATGACATCTCATTGGCATTATAATGTCATTCGTATGGCCATATCATTGGTGTTCTATCGAAAAGAATAAAATTCCGCGAATTTTCTTGAACATAAATTCACATAAAGTTTTTTGTTGTCATATTCCTCAACATGTATTGTCATATTATAACCATAACTTTAATATGTACAGCCTATAGTTGCAGGTCATAAAACTAGAGCTATATTTGAGATAAGATCCATATTACCCAATCTACTCTATATCAGTCATGTCATTTAAAATAATAACACTCCATTTTTTTAGAGGTATATATTATCAAGAAGTTTTTGTTGCCATATTCCCCAACATCTGTTGTCATATTCTCCAATGCTTGCTGTTATATTTCCGAACGTTTGTTGCCATATTCCCCGTTTGTTGCCATATTTACCCAACCATATTCCTCCAATTTCTGCTGCCATATTACAATCAGTCTTGGAGAATATGGCAATATGGCATTATAGTAAATTGTAATTCTCATTTTTTAGTAACAAAAACTGATCAGACGTATCCAATAATAAATGTATGGTCTTGTCGTAGGTAATAAAATTATAGCAGTATTAAAGATAAGTCCCATATGACTTCATTTTAATTTATTCATGGTAAAATTGTTCCTTGTGGTCTCGAGATGACTTGTTTGCAATGTATTTTTAACAGTTCTTCCGCGAAATGTATTGGAACAAATTGAAAACTAAATAAATGATGCCTGATATGAGGAAAGGAAATGTGTGAGGGAGAAACAATTTATCTGTATTTCAGAGCCATATATGAAAGGGAAAAAATTGTTTGTCATACAAAAATGGTGCATTTCTCTGCTATTATGTCCGGATACTCACATAATTATTAAGCGTTATCACATTTAAGCCGGGAATATTGATTTTCACCGGCGTTTCAACGTACATATGTAATTACAAACTGGAGTCATGGAACAATGTGAATAACGCAACAATTTTGAACCTACACACGCGTGAATAGTCGACTCTAGACTAACCTGGATTTGAGTCTGTCTGGCAAAGTTCACAGCATACGTAGTTTTTATTAGTATCAAGTTAAGGCCGTCGCTACCATTGTTTTACTACATGATTTATGATATAAGTAGAAGTACGGTTCGGAAATTTCACCCCATTTAACGTGATGCCAAATAAGTAGACGTGGCAAAAACCATCCATGTTTCATCAGAGAAGGTGGCTGAGATTAATGGAAAATTTAGAAAAAAAAATGTTTGCGATTTATAATAAATAAAAACAATATGTTTCCGTTTTCAATACAAAGAGTGACGGTTCTTTTTGAAATTAGTTTGATAGTTTAACTTTTGTTTGTTTATCTGCTTCTTCTTTTAACATTTGTAACCACAAAAAATTACTAAAAATTCATAAACATGAAATAAATTGGCAAAAATATTTGACGGAAATATTGAAAGTTTTGATGTGGTTAGACTTTTTACCAGCAGATAAAACGTTGATAATTTATTGTCAAAAATAAATCAAAAAGTGAACTGATTATATGAAGTGTAGTGAAATTACCAAGTTTGTGTATAAAAAAGTTTTATCAACAATATATCGAAATGTTCTATATATTTTTTGGAAAAGCTTACTTAAAAATTTAAATAAAAAATCTGTTTTGCTAAGAGGAGCATAAAAATTATGCCGTATAAATTTTGTACGCATATCGCAGCTTTTGCTCATGCCCCAAATTTAGATGTCAACTAATACTGGCGCCTCCGCCAAAATTTTAAATTTTGTGCAAGCAGTTTTGCGTCGACTGTAGGCCATAATTGAACGATTTCCTGCATCCAGAGGTTGAATGTTATTCGGACAGCAGCTATTCAATTTGTCGAGACCATCTCGTATTCTAGTGCAATCAACAGACGATTAAACTTCCAAAAACAACTGAAAGTCGTCCACAAAGCGTAAGTAATTGATATCCAGGCATTCGGTTATATCGTCAATACAAATAACTAACAAAAGTGGCCCCAGAATTGACCCTTGGGGAACCCCTGAAGATTGATGAAATCTATCTGATTGACATCCACAGATTTGGAAAAGTGACAATATTTTTGACCAAAAAATGTTCGTGAACCGCTATTCTGATAAATACTTTTTTACTTATGTCTCCAATCACATTTTATAATTTTATTGGGAGCAATATAAATTATTGCAGTGCAGTTATCTGCACTGTAAAACCTCTAAATTAAAAGAAAATATATCTGCAATTTCATCACTGTGATTATATTTTACTTAAAGCAGTAAATTTGTTATTGGGAAATATTCTTATCCAGGTAAATCTAGATTGATTAACGTATAACTTGTTTATAATAGCCAGATTTATCGATTATTAAGGAAAATCAGGGCTTAGCCAGTATGCTTAATGATCTGCGTCAAACAATATAGCCGATTATTATGTCAAGAATTTCTCCACTGATCACGCTAGATGCTGTCGTCTATATCTCACCGACAGCGGTGTACCTACTACAATATACGTAAAATTAGACTTAGTTTATTTCGCCTCAGTAAAACCGGCATTTCCATAATTATTTTTAGTCTTTGAAAGGCGAGTAGATGTTTTTTAAGCTTCTATTTATTTTTGCGTACGAGAAATAGACAAAAGCGACCCGGCAAAAACATGCCCCAGTTTCTCGGTCGATGCCGGTAACGTTGTACAAAATAGGACGATTCTGAATTGTTACGCACGTACCTCGAAATATTTTTGTTTTTGGGGATGCCGTCGTACTTAAAAACTATTTATTAAAACCATTTTCATGTGAACCTTGAAGAAAATATTAACTAGTATCGACAATTTACTAATCGAGTTTTCCTATTCGCAATGTATTTTATAAAGGAACTTGCAGAATTAAGTTATGGTGGCATCTAAAGAATGTGAAATAGGAAACTTCACCGAGTTGTAACGGAAACATTTGCCACTGGCAGCCCGCCATCTCTTTTGTGCGATTTTCATGAAACGTCAAGGTCTGTAAAAGTTCGTGGCGCTGTGCAAAACACCGCTTCGTCTGGTCCCCAAACCTTGCCCCGAACTCCTAGACGTAGAATCTGGCAAGCGTTATGACGCCTACTTTATAAATATACCCCGGATCGCCAAAGTTTGTAATTTAAATCCGTTGAATTATTTTTTCCCTCTAATATACAGAGCAAACTTTCTATAACATCGATAGAATGGGCCAACGAGATGTCCGGATCTTAAAATCAGTGAAATAAATTTGGTTAACTGTTACAGGACTGTATCGGGAATTTCACACACCCTGTACCCGACGGCTTGCTTGTTTATAGTCACCGTTCGACAGTCCTTTGTCTTCCACTGACATTAAAACGTGACTCGACAACAAATAAGCTCGCTTTATCTCACATCTTTAATTTCATTTGCCTCCGTCTGAACACCAGTTGCACTGGTGCACGTTACATTTAAATTTTATTATCGTGCTGTCTACGAGTAATCTAATTCATTATATCTGAGTAATGGATCTCTATCGCCGTTACGTTAGAGGTAATAAAGGTATCATGTCTATAAAGTGTCTGTTTCGCAATGATATTAACTGGAGGAGTGGTTAAGAGTAGGAAAATCATTTTCCCGTCCTCGTCCCTTAGAATATCCCTTTTGTTTTTGTACACGGCCTTCAGAAATGATTAAAACAGTAAGGTCAGGATTACATTAAAATTCTGTTTCACCAGCTGATGATTGGTGTAATTATGAATGAATTATCTCATAAATCTGTCTACCAGTGGACCATTGGTAGACCCTTGAGGCGCACCTCTCTTTTATTAAAAGAAAAGCTTTTAACTACAACTTTATGAATTGTATCGAGGTACAATTTCCACATATGTACTTTGGATCAAACCAGTCTCCCTCTATTGTTGTAGTCATCATCATCGTCCTCACCACTCTAAGTTCAGGAAGTACTCTCTTCCCGACGACCCACACAAGAAGCGTCATCACGGTGACAGGCGGATCTCCACCCAACCAGAAGACCAAGACTTACCTGCTAACGACAGGAACCAGTTAGACAGTCACAGGTAAGGATGAATTTTGTTGCCTTCCAAAAGACCGCTTAATTCTCGCCTCGGAGACAGAAATAGATAATTTTTCAAATCTCGTAGGTCGGATGATTCAAGGGCTCTTCGAAGGCATAAGACTTCGAGGCCATCCAATGCGTCGCTTATGCACATTGGGAAGGGTACCGAACTACACCCCTCCCTGAAGAAGCTGTATGATCACAGCCCCCACGCAGTAAGTAACCTCTATTTGTTATTTCTACCGCATTGAAAACACATATATCCATACAGTTTTAAATAATAGGCGTTTGTCTATTATTTACTTCGTTGAAGGTAAACCGGTGAAATTGGTCGTAGATGCAAAATCGCTTTTGTTTCATTCACAACCAACTTCACCTTGGCCTGGATCTGTAACATCACGTAGAACCGAGGCCTTGTCTTCGAAGTGTTATCGCCGATTTAGATCCACCGACCAGTTCAATCCATACATAACACCGCTCGCGAACAGTTTTTTCTCGTCTTAAAATTGATTTGGAAACAGTCGGGGCTGTCGAGATAATGGAAATTACAATTGTCGTCTTCCGATCTTCCGTAATATAACTGTTTTTCTTTTAGATATTCGTCCAGCTCGATGAGCTGTTTATGCTGGAAACCCACGATGAGAGGGAATGGAAGGAGACTGCCCGCTGGATCAAGTACGAGGAAGACGTCGAGGAAGGCGTGGACAGGTGGGGGAAACCCCACGTCGCCTCCCTGAGCTTCCACTCTTTGCTCAACCTGAGGAGGTGTTTGGAAGAGGGTCTCGTGGTGCTGGACATGGAGGAAAAGGACTTGCCCGCCATTGCTTATAGGTAAGTCTTCTAATTTTTCCTGTTTCAACTTCAAGAACCAAATGTGAATACCTTTGCGGTTTTGATAAATGTGTGCCAAAAATGTTTAAAACCCTTTTAATATCCACTGTAGCAAAATTAATTGGAAACTTGGAACAAAAGAAACGAAAGAAAATTAATATTTCATTGAATTAGCATAGTTATATGATAAATCGTGGTGGTTCCCCCTCCCTCCCCCTCTCGCGCTGTGCCATTTACAGCCATGTTGTTACGTCACTGCTAACGCCCTATTTACGTTCGAAAGTTGGTTGTTGAATCTGGGGCAAAGTACAGATTGATATAAATTGGGTCAACGTAGACAGTTTATGAACCCTTAACCAAGATATTAATATAGAAAAATACGTGTAAATTTCCCGCAAAATCTGCAGGTCTCTTTTCAGAAATATTCTCTAAATTTAATCATTGGGGGACATTTCGACTATTCAGTTTTTTCTGATAGCCTCTATGTTGGATAAGCTCTTAATATTAACGTTAAACTAATAAAACTTCTCCAATAAAATCAGACCCTAACTCAAATTTCAACCGGATCATACTGAACTTGCTCTCATCGTTCAAGAACCTCTTTCGAACTGCTATAAAAAAAATTAGAAGCCTTTTGACTACAAATTATATCGCAACTAGAACAGATCTAATGGGTTTTAATAGATAGCTAGTATTTTTTTAGTTTTTGGTATTATAAATCAACTTTAATATAATAAAAATCCTAAATGATTGATATCAGTAAAATATCAGTAAAAAAACTTTTTAAAATAAACAGTTACAGGTTACAGTTTCAAATTTCTGTGTAATCCGCGATTTTCAACAAGTATTCTGTTAAAAAATCATGCATATTTATCTTGATATTTGGCTTTTTTATTCCATTTTTTTTCACTCGACAAGTTGTTATCGATTTCACATTCAAATATCTTGAAATGTGGGTATTACCTTTTTAATTTCCCGAACAGGATATCCGAAGACTTGTTCAGAGAGGATTTGATCAAGGAAGAGGACAAAGCCAAAATAATGAGGGTCCTTCTCCTGAGGCACAGACACGTCAACGAACATCACGACAAGGGATTTAGGTTCACCACAAGGAACAAACACAGCTACACATCCCTACAGGTAAGATGTAACGCAGTGCCCGACGTCATAGTGTCATCTCATACTTCCTATCATCTTTTCGAAATATAATTTTTACTTTTCTTTATTATTCCTACATCTATTAACACATCCGACAGCGTTGGCCGTTGTTATAATCATATTATTTATGGTGATCCTCAAATTTATTCGGAATAAACGGCGAGCATTTATAAATTCAAATCCGCTTGAATTTATTAATCAAAAACGAAATAATTTATGCGTTTTAATCGTCGATTTAATGCGTAACAACGGCCCTCCACCTGTCACATTTCCCTCGCTCTCCACATATTTTCATCGTCCCCCAACTGGTTACAGTCGCTGTGGCTGGAGGACGGCGTGAGCTACGACGCCGCCATGTTGGCCCGGTGCTCCATGTGCTCCGCCCAAAGCCAGCTTTACGCCCCACACGTGCTGCCTCGCGGCCTCTCTTTTCCATACGTAATGTCGCTCGACGCACTTGCGTCTATAGTTTCTTTCTTTTTTATTTTCGTCACCCGTTTTCGTAGAATTTCCTTTTTGTTTGTGCATGAAATATGTATTTGGATTTGCTAATTATTTTTACGAGGTTATGGCATTGTCTCAGACAGATTTATGTTGGTAATCTACAGGCAATGGGTAAGTACAAAAGTCCCTACGAAAAGTGGTGCCACATACTAAATTTGAAAACTATAAAAGATCAGTATATTACTTATACTGCTTTATTTTGATATAAATAAGCAGGTGTTACAATTAAACCCAACATTCAAAAACATCCTAATTTAGGGGAAATCTAGTAAACATATCTAGTTTTAATTTGAAGCAAATGAACTTTTATGAACGTCGGGTAGGCTCAAAATTTTTCGTGGTGGGCTGAGCCTATCCTGTGTCCTACCTGGCTACGGCCCTGGACAAAATTATTTAATTCATGAGCTAGAACAAAATACCAGATTGTGCTGTAACTCTCTTGGTAAGTAGTTTCTCTTAATTTTAAGAGAAAAAGCATGTTAGGCATTGAATTTATAAAGATAGTTACCTATTAGTGCAGCATTTGTTTTAATTTTTTATTCACCATGTTCTTTTTGTATTCCCCGCTTGTTAATAGCAACGTTAATAGAGAAAAAGTTGCATGGGAAAAATGATGACCTCTTTTATGGTTTGTATTTATATAATTCCTTTTCCGAAATAAAGCGTTATTGATTTCATACGAAATTGAGTTGTTGGAATTGGGGATAGTAGTTTCAAAATCTCTAAATGGGCTTAACTGTGTGCATCTATTGTGCCGACAGCCAGACACGTTCAGACACGTAGATTTTTGGACCCTATATAATATCCCTTAAATCACGAATGTTCAGTTTGTTTGTGAAGTGCCGTTAGGGTTAAAGAGATGTATTTTCCGAATTTAATACCAAATTTAACAAATAAAGTCTTTATCAAAATTAATGAACATAGCAAAGGCACTAATGTAAGTTGAAAATTATTTTTGCTAAAATTAGCAATTATTTTATCTGTTAGTAAATTAAAAAGTGTTTGTTTATGATAAATTTATAACAAACAATGACGAAAAACTCGTATGCGTAATAACTGAAGTAAATAAAAGAAATTAAAATTTTTCTAAACTTTCTAAATATCGGTTGATGGCAGTCGGCTTTTACTTATTCCTTTTAAGGAGGTTTATCTGATTTGGAATTGACAAACAAATATTCATAAAAAAATTAATATAAGCTTATTAACATAAAGAAAATCCTCTAACAAAATTATGACTAGTTTGAATGAATACTTAAGAGACGAGATATTAATAAAATAATTTTTCACGACTTAATACGAAGTCTTATGAGAATGCAGATTTTTTTGGTCTTTCCACATAGAATACGCATCAATTGACGAACAGTTTCCACAGCAACTTGTATAAATAGGAAACCGATATCTAAGGAACCGTTTGACAGCTTGTAAGACACTTGTAAGATACATAATTTATAACAATTCTCCTTCAAACTGCTGTTGTTGATTAACTTAACGTCCATATGCGTGATAGCGGCAACGCCGCGATCTCGACGTAGCGTATTATTTAAAATTTGCAGGTGTCCAAGCAAACAGAATGATCGAACGCGAGCGAGCAAGTCAGCCAAGTGCAACGTTGCCAAATCTAAAGGCTTACTACTGTAGCCACTAGCGAATCTACAGAAACTCTCGTTAGACTTTAGAGGTAGCTCCGTACCCGATAAACCTCCTTAAGGAATTTTTCTTTCACTACGGAATGAGCTGCTTCTATGGAATTCTAAAAATTTTCCAATTCAAATGAATTTAAAGCAATCTAAAATAATCAGTCCCCTGCAACTTCTTCACTATACCTCTCTGGCAATTTCATCCACCGTCTCCGATTCCCCCAGAACCTTCACGACACCGAGAAGAGAAAAGTGAGCTTCCCCTTGGACGGTTCCATAAAGAATGGCGACGCCGTCGAAAACCTCTTGAAGAATAACGACACGGTGGTCGACATGAAGGAAGACACGTACTCGACCAGCAACGAAGACGTACGTAGGGCGAGGAACGACGCCATCTTAAGAAGGATACCAGTCGGCGCCGAGGGTTCAGCCATCTTGGTGGGCGAAGCGGACTTTTTGGACCAGCCAGCCATAGCTTTCATCCGGCTGGCCGAAGGAGTCGTGGTTCCGTCGCTCATCGAAGTCAACATTCCCGTAAGGTAGATACGAGAATATTATTGGACTCGGACCAGATGCTCTAATGATGATTTTGTCCGCCAGGTTCATATTTTTGCTCCTGGGACCAAAGCTGCCCACCATCGACTATCACGAGGTCGGTAGGTCCATTTCCACCCTGATGGCCAACCAACATTTCCACAATATCGCCTATAAGGCGGACAGCCGGAAGGAGCTGCTTTCGGCGATCAACGACTTCCTGGACGACAGCATCGTGTTGCCTCCCGGCGATTGGGAGCGACAGGCGCTCCTACCCATCGAGGAAATCAAGGCTAAAAGCGAAGCAATAAAAAAACGCAAGGAGAACGCCTTGAAGAAGGCGAAAGAAGCTCAAGGGATCGAGGAGAAACCTTTACTCGTAGCAGGTGAGGATATTTCTGTTTGTTTAAAAACGAAACAACCAAACTGTCTTGATTTTTTAGGTGGTGACGACGGTAAGAAGCCACCCTACGGCAATCCCCTCGAACGTACAAAAAAACCCTGGGGAGGTCTCATCAACGACGTCAAGCGACGCTATCCTTACTACAAAAGCGACATAACGGACGGATTAAACGTTCAATGCCTCGCCGCTGCGGTTTTCATGTACTTCGCTGCCGTTTCGGGAGCCATCGCTTTCGGCGGCCTCACCGGCGACAAGACCAAGAACTACATAGGGATATGCGAGACGTTACTAGCTACCAGCATGGGAGGCATTATTTTCGCGATATTCGCGGCCCAACCGCTGGTGATAGTCGGAACCACCGGGGCCCTGTTGCTCTTCGACGAGAGCCTGTTCCAGTTCTGCCTGTCGAACGGCATAGAATTCCTAACAGCTAGGGTGTACATAGGCATGTGGCTGGCCGTCATCGGGGTGCTAGTGGCCTGTTTCGAGGGTAGCGTGTTCGTGAAGCTCTTCTCGCGTTTCACCGAGGACATTTTCTCCTCGCTCATCGTCCTGATCTACATCATCGAGACCGTAATGAAGATATGCTACCTGTACCAGAGGCACCCCCTCCTGCCGAATTACTGCGAGTTCGAGGCCATCGTCTACAAGAACGTGTCGTATCTGGACGGTTCGAATACCACTGCCGCTTACGATCACAACAAAACGGAACTGGTGGTGCCCGTGAGGGATATCGTCAAGCTCCCCACGGAGGACGCCCACGGGATCCCGATCAACAGGCCTAACACCGCGCTCTTCTGCACCATCCTGACGTTGACCACGTTCGCCATCGCCTACTATCTGAGGATGTTCAGGAACAGCCAGTTCTTGGGGAGAAGCGTGAGTATCTATAGTCCTAAGGGGCGATTTGAAAAGGGTTTTAATTTTTTGTTTCTTTCATTTTGTGTAGGCCAGGAGAGCTCTGGGCGACTTCGGCGTGCCAATAGCCATAGTGTGCATGGTGTTCGTCGACTACATGGTGCCCCAGACCTACACGGAGAAGCTAAACGTACCTGAAGGACTGTCCCCGTCGGACACGGAGCACAGAGGCTGGTTTATACCGCCCGGCGGTACCAACCAACCGTTCCCGACGTGGCTCGTGTTCGCCACTGCCGTTCCTGCGATGCTCGTCTACATCCTGCTGTTCATGGAAACGCAGATATCAGAGTAAGCGCGAGCGTAAACCGTCCGGAGGATCGAGAATACAAATCACTTCGTTATTTACAGACTGATCATCAGCAAACCGGAGCGTAAACTGAAGAAGGGGACCGGCCTGCACCTGGACATAGTCATAGTCTGTTTGACGAACATCATCTGCGGGTTCTTCGGGCTGCCTTGGCTCTGCGTCGCTGCCGTAAGGTCCATCGTCCACACCTCCGCTCTGACAGTGATGTCGCGCACGCACGCGCCCGGCGAGAAGCCCCATCTGATCGAGGTTAAGGAGCAGAGGCTGTCCGCCCTCGTCGTTTCGCTTTTCGTAGGTAAGCATTACATGCGCGATGAGAAGAACAACTTGTATTCATGTCGCAGCCTATACCCCTCCCCTCCCGCGCTAGCCTTAGTAAAGCGCATCCCAGGCTGCATCGCCGCACTGCCCTACCCAACCATACCACACATAAACATGACACCACCCCCGGGGTTTACACAGACGAGCCGGCGAAGCAAGAAGAGCGCCAGAAGAAAGGGCCCTAGCCGGCGGGGCCCAGCCAGGACAAAAGGAGGTCCCACAAAGCGCCTACACCGGCCGCATTTGCGGTCGGGGTAGACGACGGATGGGGCCCGCCTACGAAGGCTGTCCAGGCCTACACGAGATGAGGCAGGATAAAGAGGGATAATCCCCCCTCGATCCCAAATCATTGAGGCCAATTTCTAGCCATGGAATAATGGCGTGTCGCAGCCTTCGTTACCTGAGGAAATCCCTTTTTTTTTTTTAGGCCTCTCGGTGTTGATGGCGCCGTTCCTGAGACTCGTGCCGATGGCCGTGGTGGTGGGAATATTCCTGTACATGGGCGTGGCCTCCATCGACGGGATACAGTTCTTTGACAGGATGAAGCTGCTCTTTATGCCCGTCAAGCACCATCCGCAGGCCTCGTACGTCAGAAAGGTGAGTTTAGTTGAAAACGTGCTAGAATTTAATATAGGCAACCCGCAGAGCTGGAATGGACACTTGTTAGAGAGTGAAGGAGGATATCAGTATCCTACCGCCTTTATTTGGTATTGATCCGCCACGTGTGCAAATTCCAACCAATCAGGTTCGGGTAGAAAGAGTAAGCGGCAGTCTGTAACCTTGAACCGGTGTTGCGCGTTCTCGGATTTGTCTCTGTAGTTATGCAACCGCTAATACAAGTGTGTATTTAGGGTTTCATACCGTAGAAGGCGGTGAAATTTTAGGCGTACTAGATGTTATTAAAAATAAATAAGTATTTAGCGGCGATTCAAGGTAATGTGAAACGTTAGACAAAAATGTAACGCTATTATTTATGACACATACGAGTTATCGCGAGTTATTTAATATTTAATTGCTGTTTTATTTATATTGCAAATTTGAATGGATAGAAGAATGGAATGTAACGAGCGTTCAAATAAAAACGTGGTCAAGTTGGTTCTGAAAATTTGGACGTAGGGCGTAGCGTATAGCAAATGAACTTAAACGTCATCGCCGCTATCAATTTGAATATTTCCGTTTTAAAAAGCGTTTAAAGTGATGTTTTCTCAAGAACAAAAAGTGTTTATCATAGAGTCCTACTTTAGAAATGGACGCAAGATTGATGGAATATGGAAGTATTCTATTCAGGAATGTTTCATGGAATTTCAAAATCAATTTCCCGGCGTTGTTGAGTACAAAATTTTTCAAAGTGCAGTTCAGCGTTGTGTTAATGTTTTTCGTGAAACGGGCAGTGTAACAAGAAAAGAAGGAAGCGGCCGACCTAAAAAGCGGACTGAAGAATTAAAAGAAAATGTCCAACAAATAATGGAAAATGCGCCAAGAACTTCTGTACGTGTTTTATCACAAATGGTGGGAGTATCAGTCGGTACCTGCCATACAGTGTTAAAAAATGATTTGCGTTTGTTCTCCTATCGTTTAACTTGTCAGCAAGAACTTCATGAAGTTGATTTTCCGCGACGGGCTGTATTTTGTGAATGGTTTTTAAACAACTACGGTGAACTTCATAATATCACCTTTTTTTCTGATGAAGTCTGGTTTCATTTAAGTGGTTACGTAAACTCACAGAATATGAGAATGTGGTCTTCTGAAAAACAAGATAACTTTTTTGTCGAGGGCCCTCTACACGCTCAAAAAATTGGAGTTTGGTGTGCTCTCAATCGAAGGAGGATTTATGGACCTATTTTTTTTTAATGGTACTCTTACTGCGCAAAGGTATAGAGAAGAAATTATCGCTCCTTTTGTTAACCAGCTGGAAGAAAACGAAATTACAAACTTTTACTTTCAACAAGATGGCACAAGGGCACATACGGCAGGCGAGACGATGAATATGTTGAGGGAAGTTTTCCAAAATCGACTAATAAGTCTCAATGCTGAACATGAATTTCCACCGAGGTCATGTGATATTACGCCGTGTGATTTCTTTTTGTGGCCTTACCTTAAAAACACTATTTTTGAACTGCCTATTCCTGATTTAAACCATCTGCAGGCTCGACTTATAGACAAGATTCGTGAAATTAACAATACCCCGAGCATCTTAGAAAATGTCTTTAATTCTTTGAGGAACAGGTGTGAAAAGTGCTTGGAACAAGGAGGGGGACACTTTCAGCAGCTGCTTTAATTGTTTGTTATTGTTATCACGATTATTCTTTAAAATAAAGTTATATAGTCATTAACGTTATTGAAACTGACAGCTGCTATACTGCTCGTTGAGAAATGAGGTTAAGTTGGTCGCTATAAGCTACTCCCTACGTCCAATGTGTCAGAGCCAACTTCGACCACGTTTTTATTTGAACGCTCGTTATAACAGGAACGTGAAATATTGAAATAAAATTGATTTTAATGAAATAAAATTTTTTGGAAGTAAGATATTTTAATAATAATTCGTGTCATAATAATTTTGGCGCTAATTAAACAGTTCCGAAAATAAACGGGACCACTAAACTGTAAAAAAAAAAACAATTATGTCTCTCCACGCGTTATTCCATTATTTAATTGTGGTATTACTTCCTACGGGCGCCATAAAAAGTTCATTCACTCGTCCAGTTATAGACTGGTCATAATTGACAGCTGGGTCAATAGGTCGGTGTTTGTTAATGCCCTGTTAATAGTGAATTGCACTGTTATCGGGACAAAGCAAACAAATTATTGCAATGCTTTCCTCCGCCTCGTTAGTTTCATGGTTTACATGAAATTTTAGAAATAAAATGATGAATAATCACAGTGAGTATTGTGACAAATGTAAGACAAATATTTTAACAGGTATTCTGTTCTCATTGTTGTTTTACTGTCGTATTTGTTTTTCAAATGAAAATAATTTAGTTTTACAACCGACAATTTCCCCTCCCGACTGTTTAAATTCTTGGAATATACAGGGTGACCTGATTTATAGGCGAACAGTAACGTGCATCCAAAGTAAAAACAAATGAAATTCAATAGTTTTAAGTAGACCCTAAAAATTGATTTGGAAATTATATTTTCCACAAAACTGCAAATAATGCACTTGATTGGTGCTAATTTCGAATAAAAAAAAGCAAACACAATTTTTTGTGTGAGCAAGCTGGATACTCTTCTGATTTACTTACTGTCTCGAATAATATGTAACTCTGTTGAAATATTACAACAATGTGTTTGGAAATGGATAATAACGGATTATAATAACGTCTATTAGTAAGAATAATGAGGCAGTCGCTTTGTATATTTATATATTCAATAATTCTCAAGGTTAAGGTCTATGCAATGCCAGCTCTCGCATCGAGATTTGTCAGGGGTAATTTAATATTGTAAATTTCATAAATGAGATAATTAAGTAAATAAGTGACTCAAAATTGGATGTTTAAAATGTTATCTTTATTCGCAATTAATAGTTATAAATTAACGTCATTGTTTATTTAGCATACAGACACAACGCCACTCCCATGATTCTGTTAACTTGACCTTTATGGGAATATGTTCATTTTTGCGGGAATCGAGTAAAAGTAATATACAGTGTGTCCTTGGACAGATGAACGACTTCTGTAGGAAAGAAAAACTATTAGTGTTCAAAAGAGGCCTTCTGTGATTCAAAGAAACCTTCTTTAATGACATTTTGTCGTATCTCACTTCACTAAGTAGTGAGAAAAAAGAAAATCCTGCCAAGAATTGTTGCCTGCAGAGACACTGTATGTTGGATATTTCCATATGTCACAGCGTTTTGAGTGAATTATACTACAAATTAATTTAGGGAAATGACCAGACCATCCAAACAAATTATGTAATCAAATTCGGCCCACACACGTATAACGGAGTTACTTGGAAATCCGTGTAATATTTTTCCAACGCTAGCCATCGTATTTTTAAATAAACCCAACCGAATTTTTTAAATCGAGATTTTCATGCAGTTAACGTCCATTAAAAGGCATAACTCTGCGTACCAAGGTTGAGCCGATAGTGCCGAGCATGTTGATGCAGTATTCTCTTATCTAAGTATTCATCAGTTCGTTTACTGTCGTCACTTTCTTGTTATTATTTCACCTTTCGCGGCCGCGGGAAATGTTGACGCGAAATTGAACGCCCGAATAAAAATCTTGTTTGTCAGTAAAACAGCTTTCGCCAAAGTACCCAAACAACTCCAGACTGGTCTAAGTTCGATCCGGTATGAGTTGATGGCCTTTAGAGTTACTTACTGGATTGTAATGAATAAATTTCACAGCTCAAACTGTCAATGTTCCCTTTATTCCCTCCACCACTGAACCCCATGTCTTTTGACAGAAGCAATGTCTGTCATCGCTGAATAACGTGGAAACGGTGGCTCATACAGTCTTTCGGAAGCGGCAGTTTCAAATGTGCAGTGATTTCTTTTGGGGCGCTATTTATTTTACTAATACCAAACCTTGATTTCCACATTTTCTGTGTGCAAATCTAATGAAGCTGCAATTTTTAGTAATTTTATGGTACAAAGCAGAGTATTTTCGATACAAAGTAATATAAAACACAGGTACTCTGACTTTGTGTCTTGCTATTTAGTAGTTCTTCTCTTCTTAAAGTTTCGATATTAAAATAAAGTGAAGAAAACATCATAATTAGAAACGTAGTTATGAAATATGAAATAAAACAAATAATATCTATCACTCTACCGATTATCTCCAGAGGAAGTAAAATTTAATTCTGCGGCTATTTTTCCCGTCCGTAATCACAGACTTAATTTCGCATCTGCTTTGTACAAGCAAACTTTCCGCAAACAAAATTTCCGAGACCCGATTGCAATATTCTAAATACAAACTATTAAAATAAATACAAAATACGGTAATCATTAATATACAGGGTGTTTCAGGATTAAGTCGACAAAGTTTAAGGAGATATTCCTCATAAAAAAATAAGAAAAAAATCAAGTATAATTTTTTTCCAGAGACGCGTCATTTTCAAAATATAGGGCGTTAAAGATTTTTTAAAAAATTCGAATTTTTTAAATAAACGAAGAAGGCTATTTAAGCCAAATTTGGCTTGACACATCTTCTTCAAATAACAAATAAAAAATGATGCTTGTTTTTAGATAGAACAGTTTGTTATTGACAAAAATTGTACATTCACTTTTTTCCTAACTCTTATAGTTTCATGGCAAAATTGATTTTTAGGAAGGGTGCTTCTGGATCATTTTTTATTTTCAATAAGGCCGTATTATTATTTTTTTATAATTTAATGAGTCTGAATCCCCATAACTCCACCACTGGTTGCTTGCGGGACTTCTACTTATATGGAAAAATGGTATCTTATAAGATGTGTCATGCCAAATTCGGCTTAAATTCTCATCTCATCTTCATTCTTCTTCATCTTCGTTCTTCATTTAGAAGTTATTTAAAAAATTCGAATTTTTAAAAAAATCTTTGACGCCCTATATTTCGAAAATGAAGCGTGTCTGGAAAAAAATTTATACTTGATTTTATTCTTATTTTTTTATCTTAAAATTTGTCGACTTAATCCTGAAACACCCTGTATATACTTCTACGAGCACCAGTGCCAATATGGACGTTTCAAACAGGGTCGCAAGATCATAACGGTTAATAGACTACTCGTTGCTCTTAACACTTCTAAATTTACTGCCAATTAATGAAGATCCAGGATCCGAAACGGCCCGCTGGCGCTCGTAAGAGCGCTTTATTGCAATTGCACCAGATTTTTATAACCCTCCAGATAAACCCTTGAACCAGCCGACGGATTTATCGCGGCTCCAGTTAAGGATAAATAACACGACGCTATTTTTATACAAATATGTGTTGTCGAACCCGATTCCTATAATAAGGCTGCCCACATGCGTCGCCTTAATGGAATGATAAATCGATGGAAAATATCTTCATATGGTTGTGCAGTCGCCACAGGCGCTGCGAATATATATTAGGTACGAATTTCTATTTGTGCCGCCGCCGGCATATTAAAGAAGCTTGTGTAATAGGCGGGCAACAATTTAATTTGAATCGTGCACACCGACACTCCGTCGTGTGGAAATAATAGATGGAAAAGAAATGAAACACGTACGAGGTATGTAGAAAAAAAAAATGATTTTCAAGACAGATTCAACTGTCAGATGAGATATTTGATATTTTCATTTAGAGTTATTGGCAAAAACCCATTTATTTAAGGTCATCTTCGAACGCGTCTACCTCCCGTAGGGTGGATTTGCGGACCCATGTTTATATGAAATTTTTGTCTTATTTTGAACCGACAACTCTACCCTCGAAGTGAAGTACCGCTATTTCCGAACACCCTGTATACAAGTAATGAATTCTTACCATTTATTGTTAACTGATCAAAAAATAGCAATAATTTTAAAAAATCAAAACTGACGTAAATTTCTCAGGCTTTGTTCTCCCTACTGTGAAGATCCTCAGGGATACAACCTACTAAAGCTTCCACACACAAACCCTCTAAGGGGGTTAATAAATTTTAGCTCTGCGAAACAAAGAGACACAAGAGGGTTAAGCAGAAAACCTGACACAAACAGTAATCCTTTTAAACAGCAAGCAAGCATGTATGCATCTACTCGCATGCCATCTTAATTTTATCGGATTAAAAAATTGGGTCGGCACGACGACATACTTAGAAAGAAAAGGCCCATCTAAGTGCCCCCTATTCACAAATGTGGTTCTTCCTACGAGTCCCAACAATGCTGCCCACTCTTCTGAACATGATGAGTGTTGTTCTTCAATGGGTCTTTCATTGTGTACCGCGCCTGTTTGTTGCCTCGGGACTCATTCAAGCGACAACAAACGGGCTCGAGTCTATTCGCCTGGATAGAGAGGAAAATACTAAACTACTACGCAATTCCTGGATAGAAAGGGTTAAATTGGGGGGCGACTGATTTAAGTTACGTCGTTGACTGGGGTAGAGGCAGAGAAAATGCTAACGCAAAGATCTATAAAAGTGTTAAATGCGTTTTAACTGACAAAAACGTTGGAAATAAAACAGACGACAAAATGAAGCATTAAAATGTATTTAAAAAGTAATTAATATATTTATATTAATTAGGTTATGTCCCACGTGTGTTTATTAAAACTTATCTTAACCTATTAGGTAGTAAACACAATGAAACAGTACGCTAAGGCCTAATTATTTTATCCAAAATGCAGTATATCAAATTACTAAACGACTAATCTTTGGCAGGCAGAAGTCTACCGTATTAAGGCAAAATCTAGATAAGAGATAAATTCGCTCTCATCTGTAAAACGTATTGGAATCCATACTAAACTTTTTAAATCATAACAGTACGACGAAATGTTTCATTGATTTTAATTCTTTTGTCGCTTGACAATTTTAATCTCAGCTGTTTGAATTTAAACCCAACAAACTATATTGAAACCTCTCAGTTTCAGTTCTAACGCCTCCAAAATATAAAACATTTATCTAATAAAAAAACTGGGTATATTTTCAGTAATATGTCTTCGATGTGGTAATCACCGACAATTCTATCTGATATGGCGTCTTTATAGGAGTGCTGCACTGTCAAGCGAAAATATATTCCATAATCACTTATCTACGCGTGAAGATTTGGCAGTACCGTCATGCACTAGATGCCGAAAAATTTGTAATTAGACATGACTGGAATTAGTCATGAGGTGACGAAGCCCAGATAAAACCCTTTTTACATGATGAATACCTAACGAGAAGCTAGATTAGCTTTGCAGAACTTGTTTGTAAACATTAGACAAGGAAACGTCGCATTTACAGTCTCTACATATGTTCCATTAGCGAATGACGTAGGCTTGATGAAAAAATATACAGCTGATAAGGCGATAAGAATGGTTTTTTATCGGGGTTATGTTTCATTTTGTTTCTTGATGATACATTTGAACTATTGTTGTTTAACTTTTAATTTTTGCAGCGTGTAAGCGAGTATGGATTTGCAATTTGCATTCATTCATTCATTATTATGCAAACGATAGTAACAGCGAGAAATCGCGTTTCAAAGAAAATGTTAGGTTTAATATTTGTCTGTATTTTTTTTCCGTTTAGAAATGTTTATTATAGTTTTATAGAACAGAAAATCATCAAATAACATATAACCTTAACCCATAATACCTTCTGTTTTCATTATTTGTCAGTAATAGTAAGCCATTTACAACTGATAAGGAAATATCTACCCTACATTCCAAAACCGATAATTTTTTTTCGCGCTTCATATTCGTGAACAAAATCCGAACATCAGAAACTATTTTTTGATCATGACTTACATTATTTGTTCGCGAAGTACTTATAATTTTTTGCACTTATTGAGATTTTGCAATTAGTTTAGTCAGCCAGTTGTAATTTCAATCTACGCTCGCCTTCAGTTGTTACAGCATTGTGAAAAAAAGTGTAGAATTTAAAATCGAAAGTTGGAATGTTTGGCAATTTAAAAATTCACGTAATTCAATTGCGATTTGTCCCAAAATAGATATAATTCGACATGGACTGTTTTTTTGTTGTCACATGGTAAAATTAGAATCAAAAGTTGGGCAAAAAATTTGTTGACATTTTCTACCGCCCATCTTTAACACAATTTTGTATGTATTTATTTTTCTAGACCTTCTGTAGCATTTAAGTATCTGGAAAATAGAATTTCATTCTAAAATCCGCTTGTAAACAAAATAGACGTTTGTTATTTTTCTTCCATTTGCAACAAACAGCCAGAGCTAAATATTTACTCCAAACAAAAACAAAACGAAATGAGTTGTATGCAGGCAATTATACCAGAGTAATACAGCATTTTATATGCAGATACTTGGACTAACACACATAAACGATTTTATGAGCAGGACTAAAAATTAACTGGGTACAAAATTATTTCGCAATTTCTAGTACTTGTTTATAATTCATTGCATTGTACAGTTAAATACGATTTTGGTTATTTATACAATATTTACTTTGACATATGTTCCAAGTTAGCCCTGGAACAGAGCTTGTTTATTTTGTAATGAGGGTTTCCTTCTTTTTTTTTACAATTTAGTATTCCTTTGTTTTATTACTGTGCATTAAAGTCAAAGGTGTGTGGAGTTTGAGTTTATCGATTGCTACCTAAATTAAATTAGGATCTAATAAGCTTAAAATTCAATAACAGCCATATCACCGGAATATATGTCAAACAACATTATCCTCGACCTTATCAGTCTAACAGAGAATATATGGCCCACAGAGAATCAAATATAATAAAACGTATTCAGCTTATCAGTAGGATACATAATTGAAAATTTTACAAGGTTAATTGTAGTTTGAAATAATTAATTATTAGGTGGTGCAACTAATAACTGTATTGTTAAAGTATAATATGGTGGCTTCTAAATACGTAAAAGGTATCGAGGAACTAGGCAACCTAGATTAGTATCCATCATGCATTTTAATTATGCGACATAAATGGAAGAAATACAGTGTGGTATTTATAATTAACGCTATAAATATTTTGTAAAATATTAAGTTTGGTAGACGATTATCCACTCCTTTTAGTTTTTTTAGATCTCGATAGAAAATTTAATTTTTTATCAATCAAGTTTTAATTTAAAAAAATATGAAGGCAGATTACTATATTTAGTGTAACATGCTTATAAAATTGTTTCTTTACAATAGAGAAATAATTGACTATTGTCTTATAGTCACGGTTAGTGATTACGGCAGAAGTTGAATGTTGTTATCGACTCAAAAAGTAGGTTATCGTCAAGGAAGTCACGGAAAGATTCTAACTCGGATTCTTGCGTATTGTTTTAATTTTTGGAATTTGGAAAACAAACTTAATTGTGTATTTCAATATTGACTGTTAAATATATTTCTTATCTACTAATACAAATAAAAGTAACAAATTCAAACAGTTCAACATGAAAAAATTTTTCCATTAAAATTTTGACTAAACTACAAGTTCTATTTGCAATTCATACATGTTTTTAGTACTCCAATTCTCTGAAATTTATGTAAACTATTTAAATCCAATACACGGGCTGTTAATTCTAATGTTTTCTTACCATTAACGTACTTGGAGTCAAAGATAACACTAATAAAAGCATTCCTGGCACGTCGTGAGGTTAACGAGCCCTTTGGCCGGGTGATGAAATTGAAAAGCCACACTGGGATGAAAATAAATATATTTTTAAAAAGGTTTTTATTTTTCACAATTTTACATTCATTACGATAGAATAAAAATAATAATAAAAAATAATGGCACATTGCGTCGAAGCAAAATGTCATGTAAAGACACTGGATTTCATCGAATATTCATCTATTTCTCATAAGTTATAAATAAAATCCCATTTAATTATATATAATATAATTCATTTTTCAAGTACTTTAAATTTATGTAATATATATTCTAACATACAGCTCGCGTCTATCATGGTAAAAAATATTTCAAATCGGCAAGTAGATATAACACTTACGCTATTATTCACGTTGATGGCAGTTTAAACAATTTTCTGGTTTCTCTATTGCGGTTTCCTTAAATATCTCACTATACTGTGTGGAAAAACTTGATTTACGCCATTTATCCTGCTTAGAAATTAATAAATTATACCATGAAAACTTTACACACTTCACCAGAAGTTCTCCATTGACTGTTAGAAAAGTCCCTTCTTTTTCTTCTCCTTCTTGCCATCGACAGTCTCCCGGCTGCCCTCCAAGGAACGTCTCCGCAGCTCCTCCACGGTCACCTGGTTCTCCTTCTCCCAGGACTCTTTCTCCAGCTCGAACTGTCGACGTTTCTCCTCCAGCTCTTTCGCTTGCTGCTCCAGGGATTTCTTTGTAGCCTCGTGCCTTCTTGTCAATTCTGCCTCGCTGTCCTTGAGCTTCTGCTTCTTCTCCCTTACTTTCATCTCGAACACTTGCTCCATTTCCGCCTCCATTTTCTTCATCTTCAGGTCGTGCTCCCGTTTCTCCTCGTCCATCTGGGCCAGTGGGTTTTTGTTGGATATTCTGGTGGGCTTGCCGTCCGCCCCCAGTCCGGCCAACTTTCGACACCGATAATTCTCGTAGTGCACGTTATTCGTAACATCCTTCAGGTCCTGGAGGTGGGTGCGGATCACCATGTTTCTCAGAGCTATGAAGTCGCAGTGTTCTAGGTTTTCCACCTCGGCGATACCCCAGGGGTATTTTCGTCCCCTAACTTTCTTACCTTCTACTTCTATGACGGTATTTGAGCCTACGACCGCGAACGGGACTCTGTCCTTCAGTGATTTGTTTAATTTATGCTCCTCGTCTTCCTCAGAGGTATCGGGGAATTCATAAATCTTGATTTTATGCTGAGCGATCTCGTTCAGAATCTGTTTTTTAAACAGGGCGCACTCGTCTGCCGTAAGGGTATCGGCCTTTGCTATGACCGGGATAATATTCACTTTATCACATAACCGTTTCATGAACTCTATATCTAGGGATTTCAGACCGTGTCCGGAGGGCTGGATAAAATACAAACAGCAGTGGACGCGTTGGTCCGGGGTTATTTTCCTCGTCACCCTCGCTTCCGAGTTTAAATAGTCCTCGTACTTGCTCTCTATAAACTCTATTATGGGAGTCCAACAATTGCTATTGTCGACGGCGTCTCCGAAGCCAGGCGTATCCACCATTGTCAACAATAAATTGACACCGTTCTCTTTCAGCAACACTCTAGTTGTTTCAACGGCCACAGTCTTTTTAAGTCTCTGTGTTGGTCCGGGGTAGTCGGAGGAATTGTATATGTCGGTTAGAAACATGGAATTTATCAGAGTCGATTTGCCAAGGCCCGATTCACCGACGACCATCAAAGTGAACTCGAAACCTTTTTTCACCGCTTTACGGTATACCTGGTTAGGCAGATTAGCAAATCCAACGTAGCCGTCCAGCTCCTTAGGTTTTGGCCTTTCCTTGACAATTTCGGGCGTGGATTCCTTACTAGTATCCTCCTTGGCCGACTCTGGTGATGTGGGCTTGACAGGAGGCTCTGGCGGTTTATCCAGCGATGGGGTTTTATTCAATCGATTTGTATCCTTATTCAGAGCATTTGCGGACTCTGTCGATGTGAAAAACATTTCCCTCTTGCTTTGAATCGTAGTGGTGCTTTCGCTTCCGTTGGTCTGGGGTGTGCCATTCGGTGTACTCGAGGGGTTGTTCTGCTGATCCATGAACTTCTGCCTCATGGCTAACCGATCCAGGCTAGACAGCCTGTAGGAGCCCCCGATGCTGTCCTTATCTCTGTCTCGATTCAACCCACTGCCCGCATTGAAGCTGGATGTGTACTTGGGTAGTGTGGGTGGCGGAGTGGGCTTATTTTCCGAATTGCGGTTCAAAAGCGCGCTGCTCGAAGTATACAAGTAACTACTGGGCATGATGTTTGGTCTGGACTTGATTGTGGCAGTTGCTTGAGTGGTAGGGACTTGAGCATTCACATTATTGGCACTCATTGTTGCAAGAACTAGGTGCACACGTCTACGCGGACATTGTTGTTTAACTGACAGGTATGATTCTAGCTTTCCCACATTCAACTGTCACTTTGAGCACCGGGTGATGATGAGTAATGTTTATCTGGTCAGCCACGCCCGAAGCGTCTGAGCGTTTGAGTCTGGAAAAACACAGAGGAATCATCAATTAAAAGCTCGACGGCGGAGCCCCGGGTACTTACCAATCGATTTAACACACTCACAGGACGGTCTTTTACTTCATTTTACGACTGAACAACGAGAGATGCAGGTCAGTTCGGTACACTTACCACCGGATTCGTTAAACTTGTGGTACGCTTGTTGAACCCAGATGGCGAAACTTGTCGCGCCGCCCCTCCACCGCTTTGCGCCTCGGAGTACGAGCCGACTGACACGTAGTACGGGAGATCGCCCGGAAATATTGGCGAATTTTATGTGAAACTTGACTTGGATAGAATAAAGTTAATACTGTAAATTTATTTAATGTTATCGTGAGTTTAAAAGGACGAATTTATCTTCAATGCCGAATTTACTTTATAGCTAGCAATAAATCAACGGTATCTACTTATAATCTAATGCGATAATTCAAACTGTAAAGTCAAATTAATGGAATCGTTTATATCGGATGCGACTCAACTCGTTTTTCAACGTTTATGTAAGGGAGAAAAGGTGATATAACCGTTAGTGATTTTTCTGCACCGGTCTTTTAAGTGGGCAGCTATAAATTTAATGATTCCGAATCCTCCGCTAGAGGTCGCTACGGTATTTTCGATAATTGAAGGGAATTGGAGGAAACCATCAGTTTTACACTCAAAATACCAATTAAAATCATATTATTCGAGAATTTTGATGACTAGAAACTTTATTAACATCTTAAGGGTGTAACGACATTTGCCAAACTAATTTTTTAATTTATAAAGTGGTAATTACAAAAACCTTGAATTTCTTATCTCAATTTTATGCGTTATTTTCTATTTAAATTATCGATTCAATTGCAATTATGTCATTTTGAATGCGAGTTGTTTTAAGAACAACACAAGGTTCTAAATATTAAAAGTTATTAGCTTCCGGCACTTCAACTTATTACAAATAGTCTACGAAATATTTAAAATTTCCAAAAAATATGTTCCAAACTCAAACAAAATAGATGTATAGGAAAATTACTATATTATACGAATATTTTTCAAGTCAGTATTAAAAAAAACTGTATTATATTTAAAAAATTGATATTACCAAATCAAAACCGATTGTTTATCAAAAAAACTTAATTATTAAATATTTACATACTATATTTATTGAATTACTTGCAACAGACGCATAAACTTCCGCTATAGCAAATTGTTTCAATAATTCAGCCTGTATATTCTGAAATATCGGTCACTGACACAGTTTCCGTATAGTCTCCCGTGCTACAAGTAGCCAAGGAGCCCGGTGCGTTGGTGGGGGGTTCTCCGATACATCCGGCCAGACAAATATTGAACGCGTTCGTCACTCTCCTCAACTCCTCTCCCGGTAGTTACAAATACGCCGGGTAGAGAAGGATCGCGTTGCCCTTGCGCGGCTCTTTGGCGAATCGATAATGAGGACACGCACATTTCCAGTTAGCCGATCGTATTTTTCAAAATGGGACACGTTCCGCATGGACGATCGTTGCGATTGCACGTGCACCAGGTATTTTCATGCAAATGAACGTATCTGTCCGTGGCGTATGGAAACCATGGAAAATGAGAATAATTTTAGCGTTAGGGACATAATTAAAACCAGTCATTGTAGAAAATAATCGGAGCGATAAACAGTTTCATTCAGATGCAGTATCTGCTCGTGATGCCGCAAACTGGTTTTATTCCTTTTAAAATTGGACCAATAGGTATCCTTAATTGCCACACGGACTGGGCACAAAAGACTTTTCGATTTAGGTATTCAGCACAGTGGCCAGTCGTGTTTCTACGAGTGGTATGTTTTAATAAAGAACGAGATGAGTAATAGGTAACTTTTCCCAATTAGGAAAGAACAGGTTCTTGGAAATGGGCATTCTGTGTGTATTCAGTTCATCATTGTAATACTTTATCCTTATTATAACCAAAAGAATTCGTTTTCGAGATAGAGAATGTTCAGAATTAACGAAAATATGGTTTATTTTAGTAACCACCTAAACATGGTTTAATATTTTGTCATTTATCTGGAAAATGCTACGTGCTAATAACATTTAACGCTGTCTTATAAATAACGACGAGTCAAATTTGAAGGAAAGAAAATTGAAAGTAAAAATTGTTATATTTACAAAAAAAATCGGGGCTCTGTGTAAAAAAAATTGATCGTGCATAGCTGGGTCATAAAAAACTGCAACCTTGAGCCAAATGCACCAATAATCAATAAAATTAAAACTAAAAATGATAATCTAAATATAATTATTACAAAAACATTTATCTAATACAATGAAATTGTTATATGATGTAATCATTCAAAGAAACATCTTATATTCTTACTGTTCTATTATCCTTTTGACAAAGACTGATGACGTAAAGAAAACAGCTCCCTTCTCGTATGGAACTAAGAAATATTAACAGATATTTCTTTGAATAACTGCATTATTTAATAATTTCTGTATATTAGATGTCATTTGTTTAATTTTTTCAGTCAAAATCGCGTTACGATTCCCCATCGAATAACTGCACAGTTGAATTGTGCGGATAAATCTTTAGGATTTATCGTTACGTGTGCGGTTGGCATTACAGAAATGCCTCCTGTTACGAACAATATAATTCACAAATTTATGATTTCTATAAATATCCTCAACGCCATATGCCGAGAACTTAAAATAACTGTCACATTAACTGGTAAAGCGAGATGATAGGTGACGTAGAACAAAAAATATAACTTGACTCAAACAAATTCTAATTTTGGATTCGCGTAACCTTGAAAAACCAAAATAAACATCGGTATTATTTATCTCGTAAACGTTAGACAATTTCTTTGTTTTTTTTTTGTGATAATTTTACTCATATCACTCAGCATTTACACACTTTTCTATTCGTTCTCGGTTAACTTTAATCTCCAGTGACTCCATTAAAAATAAAATACTTATGTCCGGCGCATTGTGATAAAATAAAAACAGGTTTCACATTGTTGTTACAACAAAATGCTACTATTTATAAAGATTAATACGTGAGCCTCATATCGTTCAGAGTTTTATTGTTGGCAGTAAACAAACGTGTCATTCTATCAACGCGATAAACGACTTTCGATATCCTATCAGTTTTTAATACCCGAGGTAGTTCAAATATTGATAATGAGCCATCGATTGGTGCACGTCAATGCTGAGGCACTCTTATGTGATCTATCTGTATAAGTTGGTACAGTTCAGGTTGCGTTTTTCAGTAAAAAATTTTATATTACATAAACCGCATTATCTTGCATCGTAAAGATATTTGGCTGTTTGCATTAGCGTCTTAATTAAACATGTCGAGTGAAAACGCACCACTGAAAATGGGCATCCAAATAAATAAATAAATACTTAACAAAATCGAAGATTTCAAAAATGATGAATAATCAACTGTACAGGATTGTTGTTTTAAACGAAAAAAATACAAAATCGACGAAATTTTCTCTGATTAAGTATTATTGTATACATTTGCATAGTAAACGATTTTTTTAAGTAGAATATGTATTGTAAATGAAATATAACTAGACCTTGACACCCTTCTTTCTGCAATTGGCTATGTCCAATCGACTGTTATTTTTAATAGCTTGAATTCATGAATGTCTTTTGTTTCAGGTTAAAACGGCGAAGATGCACCTCTTCACCTTCATCCAGCTCATCTGCCTGGTGATATTGTGGGTAGTGAAATCCACCAAGGCCTCTCTAGCGTTTCCGTTCTTCCTTATACTCATGGTGCCCCTGAGGGCACATTTGAAACACTTCTTTTCGCAGAGAGAACTTCGGGCGGTAAGTACTTATTGCATAAGACGTTGTACATAAAATTTATTCATTTATCTTTGCAATATTTACAATAATATACAAATAAATTTCTTGTCAAAACAACAGACAGAATTAAATCAACACACAACCTCAACAACGCATATTAATAACACACAAACCTCTGCTAGGGATTGCTCTGCGAGAAAGGCTTTCCACATTCGATTTTGTTGTTTTCAATTTTTTTCAACACACCAATCAGAAGTGGGATCTCACCTAATCTCGCCATCCACTTGAAAATGAGTTCAAATGAATTCTCAGCCTATTTTTATCAGGAATAGTTGCGTCAAAGTTTAAATATAGTGTAAACAAACCTTTAGGTACTTGATTATGTTGTTCTTGACTTCCGTTTATCAAAATTATTTCCAGCTTACGCCTAGAAGCGTAGATCGAGATACGTATTAATACATTCCTCTGTGTAAACACCGAACGTTCATTCATAGGGTATCTGATGCTGCCTATCGTAGCTTTGTGTAAATAAGTCGGTTTACATTTTACAACCATCTAAACGAGCCGTCTATCAGGGCGAGACGCTCCACGAAGGAAAAAATTTAATCGCCCAGCAGACATTCCAGGGTGCTGATAAAATTGTGAACTTCTTTGTGCTTGTTTACTAACAAATGTAACGAACCGACATTCCCCCGGTCTATACTTGGACCGATGTGGCTTCCAGAATTCCAGCAGCGCCACATTCGTTTCTGGTTTATTTTTAAGGCCGCCGTGTTGTGACACAAGAAGTCTCTCGGAGGAACGCTAGCTCTGAAAGTCACTGCTGAAAAATCGAACTTCACAGTCGATTAAATAAATAATTTTTTTTTGAACGAAATGGACAGGATGTTATCTACTAATCAAAACATAAACGTATACTTATTTTTTTCTGTTTTTATTAGAAAACGAATATTCCTTCAGCTTCTAGTGTGAAAATGAGAAAATTTATTTATCGACAATGTCGACCGACGGTGGCAATTTTGTGCAAAAAATGATTGAAAATCAAACTTTTAATGAATCATTTATCATTTTTTTTAACTCTTATGATACAATCTAGAGTCTAGTGGCTGTGTTTGGGTTGTAGGAACACCAAATAGTGGGTTGAATAACCTTAAATTAAGGGGGAGTTTGTTGTGACTCACGAAATTGATTATTTTGGGGTAGGTTGAGTGAGGGCAACACATTCAATGGAAAATATCGACGCGAAGCGATCAAAACTATATACGGACCCGTGAAGTTCGTTTTCACACCGTGAATCAGCCTAAAGTTTGACAATTCGACTACATACATAGAGTAAATGTTATTTTGATTGCAAATAATTGTGACTCAGCTTCACAAAATAATTTATCAACCTCCCTAGAACGACAAAACGCACATGGATCAATCATTGAGAAAAGAAAACCGTATTTAATTCTAGTTTTTTTTCTTTCCTGGCTTGTGGAGCATGTCCGTAACGAGCTTTGTTAATTAAAGTCTTTAATTCCCAAGATTAAAGGAAAACAAACAATTAAGTGCCGCAGCAACCGTATAAAATTAAAGAAAAATAACGTGTGTCTATATATAATACAATAATAACGATGCAAATCTCGCTTTGAGTAATATAATATCGCATACTTTGGCGTTACGTGTGACCTCCTTAAGAATTGCTGTTATTATGACAAATATAATGAGGAAGTCCATAGAAGCAAGCGCATGGGGCGGTAAAAAACGTTCTCTAACGGTTCATGGTATCGGCAGCGCCATAAAAACGAAATTAATAATAATGTAATATACATTTTATTATTAGCTCTCCTAATTTTACATTATTTTGAATCTAATTCAAACAAATTCAAAAATTGTTTCTGAAACATTTTGACAAACGGGGTCAAACAACAAGCAATCCTAAGTAAAATTTAGAAATAGTAGTTTTACCGTGGCTATTGACTTTTACCAACTCTTTCAGCTTTGAATTAATAGTGAAACGTATTTTTAACCGTGTTTTGAAAATTTATTTTGTCAATTATTGAAGTACATTAAACCGTATTAGATATTTTTGTCGTACTTTCGATGTTTGGATTAATAAATTTATAAATAAAATTGATAACGACTGTTGTGAAATTAATTTGAGCTTGTGGATACCATAATTATTTGTTTGCAGTTGCGTTCCTCGTTTGTGTCGACTATTGCAAGAAAATTCGTCCACGACTTTTAACTGTTTTTTCCAAGCGTGCCTAAAGAATAATAAATTAATTGAACAGCAGTTAAATTTACTGCGCGTGTAAAATAATGAAAATTAATACAGTATTATTATGGAACAGTGCATTTTCAAAGGTTCGACATGCTTAGCTCTGATGAAGGTCTCATTATGACTAGAATTAAATCATTATAGGTCGTTTTGGCAGAGAAAGAGGTAGGCTAGGGGGGTCTAGAGTCTAGAGGCTTCAAATCAGGTGAACTGGAAGATTATTTAACACAGCCTTCCATATTTTCAGTTAGAAATCTAAAACTTGTTGACGCTAACGACTACGACAACAAAGAAATGCATTTCATTTAATTACATTTTCCTGTAGATAAAGTAGAGCCTGTCGTTCGTTACATTAAAAACCAATCAGTCTTGCAACTTTCGTATAAAGGAAAGTAAGGAAATAATAACTGCGGGTCGATACCTCTGCGGAAACCACTTGGAAAGCTAATTTAAAAATAATTCGAATTCTGATGGGTCTCGCTTGCCTTACCAAAAATAATGTCGCCGAAACGTAATTTTCACAGCACGTTAGGCGTTACATTGGCCTGGGACATTCCCGAATTAGACAAAAACAATAATGACCCGTCAGGTATGTAATATACGGGGTGAATTTAAGCTCAAGTCGAATTGTAAACGGCATATTTTGGAAAGGACTTGTTTTAGTTGATAAAAACAGTGGAAAAACTTGGAAAAAGCAGTGTTCATGACACAAAAATTAAGCTTAAACATGTCCGAAACAATCGACCTGTGTAATTAATAATTAACGCAATTTTTGTATCCTTTTTATTTATATCCTTACTGGTGGGCAGCTAAGGCAGCTTCCACGACCGTCACCAGTTTTATTCTTACACAAGCACACTGTAAAGCATAAAAATCTTATTCGGACGGGAACGACGAACTCAGTCATGCCAGTCCAAGGTTTTCTTTTGTCCTTTCGCGTCTTGTTTTGTTTTCCCCGGCTTCCTCGATGCGTTACGCTATATATGTGCTCGGTGTCTAGTTTCGACTTATCGGTTTACATTGTTTAACGTAATGCTGTCGTCACTGGGCTTAGCCGCTTATCGACAGAATAAATGGGGAACTGATTAAGCAAACTGTCTTCATCTTTCTAAAGGTCGTTTGTACGGAAAGTGGTTCAATGAGAACGATTCGTTACTGATTGTTTTTCATAGACCAAGGTTTCTTCCACGCAAAATCAATTAGTAAAGATTTAGCAGAGACCTTTTCTTAGTTTATCCCTTGACACAATTCAGAATTAGGGTGCTTATTTTACTAGGTTATTATCAATTTTAATTTTCTTAAAATTAGTATTTACTGTTACCAATACTACCTTTTTGTGGTAAAGTACAACTTTTTCGTTCATTGATGTGGAAATTTGAAATATTCAATTATAAAAATAGTCCCATATGGATTTAAATCGCCTTATTTTGATTCAAGGACAGAATTTTGTGACGTTCATTATATCCTAACATTTAAATGTATGCCATATGGATAATAAATACGGTGAAAAATCGTTAAATCGCCGCTGCATGTGGTTTTATACTATCAGTAAAACCACTCTATAAATCCTCCATAATTATAAACGAACCGTTAAACTTAATGCGTAGTTTATTTTATAAAGTACGATTTTTTATTAGTATCATTAACACGCTATTGGGATATAGAATAATAAAAATATTAAGAGGCTGTACTTTTGGAGAAGCATGGAAAAGTTCGCCCCAGGAAAACGTGTTTTTTGTTGAAGCGACGAAATTTTCCCCTCTTTCGAAAAAAATGTTCTGTTGCGATCCGTTTGTGGAATAAATAGAGTTTATTTAGATTTCTTTAATTGTGAAACGCGCTCATCTGTTCCGTGCAACATTTGGTATCCACAAAGCAAGGAAATGCCTGGAATATGACGGCACCTGGAAAAATAAACGTGTCTTGGTTTTTGTTGTGAAACCCGACGAACCCGGTTAGCGGTGTATAGATTTTATCGCCATATGTTGCAAGCAACGACGCTGAAAAGCTTATGTTGCTAATACATCATCGGCATTAAAGGGTTTCGCATGTACAGGGTGATATCCGAAACTCTACTATATTGCTTTGTTTTTCGAAAACTGCTCCTGTGTAATTTTTGAAACTAGTGTATATTCAGTTTTTTTTATTACGTTAGAAATTAGATTATTTTCACAAAATACTTACACAATATTCTTTATAATCGAGTACAACTACTCTCTGACTCAACTTGCATTGAATTATATTAACAATAACTAGTCGACAGCTAGTAATTAATAATCACAGCCACACCCAAAAAAAAGTTGGGTATACTTTTTATGCGACATATATTTTTCGTAGTAATTTGGCCTCTTGAACACGAATCTGGGGTCAGAATTGGCGCATCACGTCACAATTTTTTCCTAACCTCAAAAAACTTGAAAAATAGTGAAAATTGATGAAAATTTACTGGGAAAATTTGGAAAAAAATTTATTTCCACATCAAATAGTACATTTTTATGTAAAAGACTCTGCTGAATTCAAATCCACTGTCAGAATTGAGCTAGAACGTGTGGTTTTTTTTCTAACCTCAAAAAACCGAGCAGGAATCGCTATTTTCAAATTCTGAGCGGATTTTGACCAGATTTTGTATAAAGGGGTTTTTTGGGTCGCTGATTACGAATATGAATTCACATTGTAAAAATTCAAGATGGCTGATCCAATATGGCGGGTGTACTTTTTTGAAATCCACCGATTTCAGTAAAATTTGGCATCATAAGGATTGCTGGTTGATCTCACCTTCATTAATCACACATCTGGAGCCAGATTTTCATAAATCAAGGTAAAATTTGTAGGCAGAGTCATAATTTTAGGCCGAGTAGGCGGCATTTTTTCGGCAAAGTCACATTTTTAGATTGAAGGCATAAGCAGATGCAGTGATGTGCTGTGTGGCAGTAATGTGTCCTTTTCCTTGAACTTTAAAATTATTAAGAAATAAAAGCATCTAAATGCCATAGGAAAACTGCATAGTAGTTAAAAAAATCTGATTGGAAAAACATAAGCCCATGCACGCCCAAATAAATGAAAGAATAAACTTTTTTGTCTTGTCCCATGGAAACAAGCACATCACACTACACATCATAACATGTGTAGAGTCCTTAAGTCATTTTTTAAGCGAAGTCACATTTTTAGACGGAGTGGAATCTTTTACCTTGATTTATGAAAATCTTCGGTTTTTTGAGGTTAAAAAAAAAAAACCACACGTTCTAGCTCAATTCCGACAGTGGATTTGAATTCAGCAGAATCTTTTACATAAAAATGTACTATTTGATGGGGAAATAAATTTTTTTCCAAATTTTCCCAGTAAATTTTCATCAATTTTCACTATTTTTCACAAGTTTTTTGAGGTTAGGAAAAAATTGTGACGTGATGGGCCAATTCTGACCCCAGATTCGTGTTCAGGAGGCCAAATTACCATTAAAAGTATACCCAACTTTTTTTTTGTGTGTGGCTGTGTAATTATTTAAATAAAAATTAAAAAACTATTCAAGGAAGGTCTTGTATTCTTGCTGTAACATCACCCTTAACAAAAACCAGCACACAAAAATGGCCATAGTCAGTTTTTCGATACTTTCAACGGTTAAAATAGATATGGATGAGGCTTTGTTAGGTCACGTTACTTTTTTAATTGGCGAATAGCCATTTGTTGTTTATTTTCCCGTCTTTTTAAGGAACCTTATTAAAATATATCCTCTCAAATCACGAGATACAATGTCGATGGAATTATTTTACTCTTCTAAGCAATTAACTGTTAAATACAAGTGCAGAGGAATGGTCGACGACCTCTGGTATCGTTCGCTTGCAATAAAGATTAATAAAATTGAAATGACCGCGTGATGGTCGATGATTTGATGGGTTAAATACAATTACTAGACGCTTTTTGAATTTTTATTCTGTTGCTTCTTTAAACGAAAACCACTCGTTAATGCAATGTAAAGTAAATCAAAATCTAATTTTGTGACCTCGAAGCTCGAAGCCTATTAAAAGTAATTCAGATTTAATGCCCAATTAAGCGAACGGAAGAGAAACAACTTATTTAAGTGACATTTACAAATCTTAATTAACCACTATTCTAACTGCATTAATTAGTTATACAGAGTGATTCGGTCATTATGTCATTAATTTTAACCGCGTATTCTCCCGACCCTTGAAATCAATGACATTATGACTGAACGTGAATTTTTCTACGGGACAAACTGTATTAATATTAAAACATTTAATTGAGTTGTATAGTTATTTTTGTGTTGTTTCAGTTGGATGGCGACCAACCAGATGTCGACGACGACGAGCCAGATTTTTACGCAGAAGCGCCACTTCCCGGTTAAGATCTATGATCTACCGATAAAGATTCCACTTGTTCGTGAGACATTTCCTCCTGTGGAGACCACAGCTCACGCATCGATGTCATAATAAAAAATTGTTCTTTCCTACACTCTTAAAAACAAAATTGTTTGAGTACAAACCGTTTAAAAATCAACCATGCGTATTTTGAAGTAATCTTTGAATTTTTCGATGAAATAGAAATTAAAATAGAGCAACAACTTTAAATTTAGTTATAGAATAGATGTAGGACTTTACTGATATCCGGAACAGTTGTGAAAATCCTTAAATACTTAATTTTAGAAACGTAATTCCACTTACAAGCTACTTAATCAGAATAGGTAATAAGCCCTTTAGAGTAAAAGATTTTATCCAATAAGAAGTAGTTCGAAAGTACCACTTTTAAGAGTAGGCAGGACCTGAACTTAAATTATATCAGTATTAATTATGTGCCCAGTTGTACTGTAGATTATTCGAGTACGTAGGTAGATGGATGTTAAAGGAAACAAAATCAAAAGTAGTTTTTAAAAGATTTTTAACTTTAACAAACATTATACTCAGAATATTTAATCGAGTCCAGAGGTAAGGGAAATCGTGAATGGCTGAGTGTTTTTAACTTTTTTTTTGCAGTTGTTTTAAGGTGTATTTTTATGTATGTAATCTTACTTGTGTGCTTTAAATTCTGTGTAGGATTTAATATATGTTTCTAAGTATTGTTTTCTTTTGTTTAAAAGAATTGGAATGAGTGTGCTGCTTGTCGGGGAAGATCGGTTGAGCTTGTAATTATAAAGATATCTATTTTTATAATAACGAGCTAGAGAGGATATAGTCTATATAATTATTTTTAACAGTAAGAGAAAATAAATATATAAGTTTTGTTGAAAGATATATATATTTTCGGAGATTTGTTGTTTGTCTATATATTTACGAAAATGTAAAATATATAACATATATGCCCAAAGCATCTATTTTCAAAAGATGACAGAAAATAACGGTTTACTGGTGTTCACTATCATTTTTCAAATTCATTCTAAGAGCAATTAACAATAAATTTTCCTAAATAATTTTAAATATATTATTTACTATAAGTTCTAACAAATATATTTGCTACTTAATTTTCTATTTCTACAATTATTAATTTCCTATTTTATTTATTTGCTTTTATTGTACATTATCAAGTAAAAACAAAGGGCTTCGTTGATAACATTCTCCTTTGTATTTCACCCTCCTTTCTATTAATATCTTTCAAATCCTGAAATATGTGCATTGTCATTTTATTCTGTAGCAGCGAATACAGCTGTTTCGCGTGTAACGCGACTTTCCTTTTATTACTTGGCTCTGCGTCACAAAATGACTCGGTTTTCGTTAAATCTTATATAAATAACAGAATCAAATAAGTATCAAAGGTCTCAGGAAATTGTATGCACTTTTCCACCTTCCACTAAAAAGGCTCAATGTTTGATGAAAAAAAACAATAAGCACAAACATTAAAACACATTCCCCTTTCGGAAAAAATAGCAGAACTACTGTACGTTCTAACTACCATACAATTGAACTACTGTAGAGTAAATTTATACATAGTTTTTTTAAATTCTATTAACATAAATCTATAAATTGAAAAAACAATAAGCATCATGTTGTATCACTGGCGTTTTTTAAGTGCATATTTGTATTCAAATTGTTTTCAAGCAAAGGGAATTATTTTGATGTAACAATACTTATTTTAATATTGCTTTTTTATGTTTCGAAATGTCATCCTGGCCCGAGGAATAGACTGTTTTCGTCTTTATTTTAGCTATCGAACTTGCTGACGAGAAACTCGATGGGTCCTATAATTCCTTCTTAGGAAACGTAATATCTATCTAGGTATTAATTTAGAAGACTGTGATGAATTTGGCTCACCAAGGTGCGGTACTTTAAAAATATTAGTTGCCTTGTAGTTTTTAATTATTAGTTAGTACATCGAAAATGAATTGCTTTTAGTAAGTGTTAGAATTAGGAGAACAGAAATTGTACAAACATTGGGACTAATATGGATTTGTTACGAACTTTCAATTCCGTTCCTAGATATTATCGAGTAGAACGTTTTAATTGGTATTTGTCATAATATTTTGCGGGGGATTCTGGCCTCAGGTAAAAAATTAGTTTAGCTCAAAATGACATGAAAATCTAGTCGATAATTAGGAAAGTAATAGAGAGTTGCATTTAAAGATGAAAGCATATATAAAATAAATATATTTGAGAGATATGTTAAGATTTGTTGAAGAATTATTGTATTTAGGTAGAACCAAACTTGAGCATCAAATTCCAGTTTTTGTAGTTTAAAATAACTTAAATAGTATTTCTAACTGTGATTTGAAGAGAAATGTCTATTCTATTTCTATAAATTAATAAAACTCCATGATTACAATTGTTGTTTATTTTTTACCCTTCACAATTTTCCTCTCCCTTCATCTCCCATTGAAAAGCCCTGATGGAAAAATAAAACCACAAACGGCACGTTATTAAAATAAATTCCTCCTCCAGAAAAAACAACTACTACTGTACATTATAACTACCATACAAATGAACTACTGTAGTTATACTCAATTGTAGAACCGAAAATTAGCAGCAGTAATTTATTATGTTCACAATGAATGCACGAACAACAGAAAACACAAGAAAAATTGTAATCGACAATCAGTATTCCATAACCGTAGTATTTCAATGACTATACTGATCCGATATTACACTTTTCTGAACTTAGTGTAGACATTACGAACAAACCTCCTGTTTTGTTCCGTGGTATATTTCTATCTTCCTTTTCTGTTATTTGTTTATGAAAATTGCCAATGAATTGATAAGTTGCCTTGAACTACCATATGACGGATAATAAGTTGCGTTTTTAAATATCTTACATAATTTTCCCCAAAATATTTTGGCAAAACATGGTCAACAGCTGCCTCAAATGCGGAAGAGGCAGCGAGAAAGACAAGGACGTCACCCTTTTCCAAGTGCCAATTGGTGAGTTCACTCTCTTGAGTGACATCAGTTTGTGTTGTATTATTTAATTTGTCACTTTTACAGAACTTGCAACTATTATTTTTTAAAGTATTTTTTGATTAAATGTTCAGTCAGTTCTGTCGTCATCGAAATGTAAAGTAGTAACATAACCTATACAAAAATTCATTTTTAATTTGTTTCACAGCACTGACAGATGTTTTTAAGTTATTATTTTAAGTGTTTTTCAAGTTGATTTTATATGGTGCAGCATGTAACGAGTTTTATTTATTAGAAGGAAAAAGTGCAAAATGGCAAATGGAATTTCTCGAGAGAGTAGGGATCGAAGACTTTTTAGATAAAGACGTTTACATATGCAATGTAAGTAGAATTTTAAATGTTAGAATTACTTTCACTATATTCTCTTAAAATATTCATTTACTTACAACGCTTCATACTTTATGGCCTATAAAATACATCGAATGAGGTCAATTCGGTAACCTTTATAGACGGTTGGATCAAAGCAGATTCTGATTTTTATTTTAGAGACACTTCTTGCCGGAGGATTTTGAAATGAAAAACTCGGAACTGACGTTAAAAGAAAATGCACTTCCCATTAGGAGTGGTAATTCTACTACGATTTACTTTAGTTTTCCATTTTTTAAACAGTACCATTTCCAGATGAAGAGTTTGAGGAGCAGTTAGAAATCAAACCCGAGGTAATTTATTTTAAAAACGAATGTGGCGAGACGGTCGAGGTAGGTGTAGATACCATGTCCGATACCAGCGAGACCAAAGATCTAGTTCCATTAGAACCACTCGTGGAGTACATGAACGTCTACGAGGACGTTCGAGAGGAAGTGGAACTTTCCTCCGAGGTCACGTGCAAGATGGAGGAGGCCGAAGGGCAGACCGGCAGCGAAAACGTAATTATCGAATCTGAATACGTCACCAACAATAATGGCACGCAGGAGATATCTGTCGTAAGTTCCGACGGGAATAATTTGGGGATGGATCCGGTAATGCCGTTTTTTCTCACATCCTCCCCGATGTTCACTATATTGAACGAGAATAATGAGGTAGGGGTAAGTTTTTTAATAAATTTTATTGGTTTTGTAACGATGTGGTTAGTACCGGGTGTGTCGTCCCTTATTTTCTCCGTTGTTCTTCAAGATAAATGGGATAACGTATAAGAATGGTTATTGTGTGAAATATTTAAAATTTTCAAGGACTTTTTTTGTTTGTTTTTTAGCCATCTAGCACCCTGTTGTTATGTCACATCAGGTGTACTAGGTCAGTGTCATAGATCGTTGACACTGAGATTTACAAACTAAACAGCATGCTTTAAAAAAATGTAACAAATACTTCTTATTAAAAACTTGAAATGATATGTCATCTTCATTGAAAGTTTGGACAACCAAACAGTTAAAAGTTCAAGATGTTAATGAAATATTACTGTGGTTTTAACGAAATCTTGCAAAATGATGTATTTGCTTAGTGTGAAATATTTCTGGGGCAAGGCAAGACTGAAATAATAAAATCAACCCCTTTAATATAGAAGAATAACGGAAAAAATAAGGGGCGACAGTTGTGGCAACCACCCTGTATATCTGGGAAACTCTACATACAGTGTGTACCATGATTGTCCTTTTATTTGTAAATTTGTAAGAAAATGTAATTTTTTTCAAAAGTTCTTGCTTTAAACCCAAAAATTTAATTTTATTGACTTTAAATGTGTGGTTTTCAATTTTTAGAAAGCAAAAAATAACCAAAGCAATTTTTTTTATTATAATTTCTAGGTGATATTGTCAAAAATTGAAAGCATAATATAATAAACATAAAGTGTAATATTTCTTTTGCCAAATAATTAAAACTTTATATGTAGAACATTTCAGTAATTTCCCGGCACACAGTCATGGAACGCAGTGTATGTTTCACCGATTAGCACAAACGTTACTTTAATGATTTCCTTAGGAAACGATAATCCTTCAAATAGAAGACACGGAAGACAAGAAACCGCCCCCTCCAGTGAAGGAAGTCCTGGAGGAGCTCGACCAGTCTCTCTGCAAGAGCCCCACCGGTTCCCTGACCACCACCTACACCTGCGACATATGCGACAGCTCGTACGGCTGCCTGAACTGCCTCAAGTCGCACTACGAGACCTTCCACATCCTGAACGTCGTCCGACGCTACAAGTGCAAGTTCTCCCACCACGTCAGCAAGAGCCTGGTCTGTCCCGTGTGCGACCTGACTTTCGAGAACCGCGGCGAGACCATGGACCACTACATAACCCACTCGGTGGGTTGCGAGATATGCGGCTCGGGCTTCGACCGACACAGCTACCTCACCGAGCACTACAAGACCGTCCACAACAAGGGCGACTACCAGGCCTTCTACGAGTGCGAGCTGTGCAAGATGTCGTACCAGTACATCGCCACCCTGACCAAGCACTACCGGATATTCCACAGGATGACGTTGTGCCACGTGTGCAAGGCGCGGTTCGCGACCGTGGGCGAGCTGCAGGAGCACGAGAAGGTGCACCAGGAGAAGCTCAACGTGCTGCCGTTTGCGTGCAGCAAGTGCAACATGGCCTTCAGGAAGATCTGCGACATAGCCGTGCACATCCGGCGGGTCCACAAGAAGGATGCGGCGGAGGAGGGCGAGGCGGAGGCGGGGAACGAGCTACCTCGGAAAGTTGAGGGCGAGGACCACATGCCGGTGCAGAAGAGGGTTAAGGTGAAGAAGTAGCGTAGGGGCGTGGCGGACGTTGGGGGATCGTGTCTGTGGCTGGGTTTTTGGTAAATTTTATTTTTCTCGTTTTGTGTTATTTCGTTCGATAAAATTTCGCCATTTCAACAGGAAAAAGGAGGTTAGGGAACTTCGGTTTTCAACATCGACCAAAACAGGTGGAATTGTTTGTAACACTTTTTTTTTTTAAAAACTCAAATTTCTTCATTTAATATTCAAAAATTGATTTATTTCTTTTCGAATTTGCCATTTTTTATGCATTTTTGTTTGAATATTTGTACTTTAACGCGTGATAATGTACAGGGTGTCCCAAAATGAGTGGCTCGAATGACCAAATTTGACCTTAGTGAAACTTACGGTTTTCATGATATAATCAGTTTTTTAAATCCGAAAAAATGGCTGTTTTAGGTCACAATTACAAAGTTAGGTATTTTTTTATTGTGTCTTTAGCACTCATCGATATAACGACAGGATTTTCAATTTATTTTCTTTTTGACGCTTGGTGCGCACTGAAAATAATTTCATCTTTGTTATTCGAGTACACAGAATGCAAAAATGGTAGTACGCTGAGAACGCTGTAAGTTTCATGACTTTAACGTTCATTCTTGCGACACAATTCTTTCTTTCCACAATAGCAGAGGTATCCAACAAATCCGCGGACCTAGGGCAGTTTTGAAACGTCTTGTTCCTAATTACATACCGTGTGTGAGCGTTCGGAACTTTATTACTGGTGAAGTGAAAATATTTCTCCTCTTGTCAAAAAAAAAAAGGTGTACGGGCAATGCGTGAGTTATTCGTGTAAAAAATGTATATTTTCTTTTCATTTCCATCGTTTCTCGTATGGCGGTCAGGAGGAATTAGGATGTACAGAATGTTTTGAATTCAACGTAGCCTTTGGGATTCCCGTAGTTTTTAATTACGAGGTGTTTTTTTTTTACTGCAAAATTATCTGTAGCAGTGGCGTGTACTGAAAATCGGTCTTCATATTTTGACGAGGGAAGTGCCACTTTTTAGGGGATTATAACTAATAGAAGTTAACTTTCTTCATGAAAAAACATAAAAAATAAAAAATTGAAACTTTTTTCCCAAAATCAGCTAATAAATAGTATATTCCTATTTTTCAAATCATTTTTATTTCTTCCAAAGCTTTCTCTCATTATGAAATTTAATTTCGTGAAAAATTGAAAAAAAAAACGACGTGGTAATAAAAAAAATTAAGTGTATAGGCTGCCCCAAAAAAAAACGAATATATTTTTTTGTGTCGTGAAAATATGTTAGTTTATCATGTTTTAAGAGCCCCCTCACAAAATCAGCTCAAAAAAAAATTTCTTTGAGGTCGCTCAAGATTTTTAAAAATTTCAAAACGTCAAAAATTGATTTTTTTTAATTTTTTTTGAGCTGATTTTTTGAGGGGGCTCTTAAAACATGATACTAACATATTTTCACAAGAGACACGAAAAAAATAATCGTATTAAAATTTGGGGGAAAGCTACCCTTACTTCAATACTTTATTTCACAAATTCCCAATCGAGATTTTTTGTTGTGAATTGTTTGTTGGCCTAGAAATCATCCCCTAAAAAATGGTACATTCCTTTAATCGAAATATGACGACTGATTTGTAGCATCCAGAAATAATGCAAAAAAAATTGGCTATTTCTTTGAGCTTAACTTCGTTTGCTATTCGATCACGTACTTCATAGAATTTAAAGCTGTTTAATATTTTTTCTAGTTAACCGCATTTGTAGAAAGGGGATATCGTTTTGTAATTTTTGTTGCTGTTCAAGTAAAAATGCGGACGTTACAAGTATACATAATTTCTATTGTATTCATGAATTTGAACAGAATACGATCAACATAATTCCATTTTCACGTCATTAGGAAACTTTTGAAATATCGAAGCATTTCTACAACGCAGCACAACTTAAACAAGTCCCCGTTGGCCACAGTTATGAATTTAGTTCGTTTTATTTTAGGATAACGTAAATAAAGTAGATTTTTATAATGAGTAATTACTTAATATATTTCTTCTACAGCTCCGATATATTTATTTAAAGGTTGTAATCAAACATGCACTGACGTATTTCGTCAAACAATGTACAAAATACCATGAAAATATGTGTACATTTTAAGTGTCCCGAGGTATGCATGGAATGGAGAATTAAAAATATTTTTGTTAAAAATATTGTTTTATTATTGTCTTAAACCTAGGGTACTTTCATATTTTTGGTGGTTATTCATTCATTCACTCAGGCATTTCACCCCCAGGAACCAACTGGAACAAGTAAAAAAAATATTGCTACACAGTCAATCTTAATTTGTGAATAATAATTCTAAATAAATATTTCCAAAATGTTATACATAGCACTGCCATAGACAAAACAGACTTACCATTGTAATGTTGTTTCCGTTTAACAAGATCTGATCCAATTTCGTGATTCTTCTACCTTCGGGGGTGGTTTCGTATTCCGTAACATCTTCTAGTAACATATTAACGAAATCGTCAAACCCCAATAGCGTTCCTACAATTTCTTTGTCATTCTTCATAATTATATGTATTCTGGAGCCTATACACTTGTCCACTAATTCTTAAATTTAAAAGAAATAATACTTTGTAATCTAACCTTAAAAGTATTCAATCTTACCTAGAGGAAGAAGAGTGGAAGAACTGACTGGCATAGCACTCATCTTTATTCCAAATGAAACGACACTTTATATTTATAACGGTTTCAATATAAATTTGTTTAACTATTTCGTAATTATTTTTCAAACGTTCGAAAGCGAAAAATGATAACAGCACCAATGACAGGTACCTGCATTACCGACAATGTCAGAACCTGAACGGAGGTTTGTTATTTATCCTCTACGACAGATCCTGTTCAAGAGAGTACACCAGAGTAGCTTTAATTATTACAGTTCTATTTTTCCTTATAAATGAATATATCCGTGCTACAAATGCAAACTAAGTACATACTTCTTATGTCTATAGGTTTTAATTGCATAATAGAATATGGAGTTTCCATTGAAAATGATGAAATAATTTATAAATAATATCGTTGTAATTTCACGCCTTTATTTCTATAAACTATTTGGCATGTCCTTACCTACTTTACTAACATTACACAATCAGATTTAGAATCTAAAAGTTTGAATTCCGAATCACTCATTGGTTAAATCAGGTAATGATTCCTACATGGGCACAAAATTGTTAAGAAATAAGAAATATCTTCAGTCCTTTCAAATACCACTTTTTCTATGCATAACAGGGGACACTTTTTATTTTTTAGCTGTTTGTAATATGAGTAGGTTGTTAGGCAATGTTGAACATAATAAAAAACCTACCTGGGTAAGTATACTTATAAATAAAAATTAATGGCAATCCAAAGAATTCTGAAACGACGGATGATACGTACACAAGGAACACCTGTTATGTCGTCATCCGTTCCATTCCCATTACTTTGGCAGTTGCCACATTTTTCCGATAAAATCACCGGAAAACTTTTTGAAAATTTCGCGAGCCCGCTGCAAAGGCACGGCATGATTTATTTGATGGCGCATGGGTAAGTAGCAAGGCGTGCGCAGTGACTCGCCGCTTTTGTTCAGTCGGTTTCATACAAGCCAAGATGGGAGTTGTGCGTGATGTAGTTTTAGTTAGGTGTTTTTGTAGTGAATAAACGTATTTTTAAATGAACCTGTGTCTAAAATCGTGACAATAATGTTTGTGGACTACTTAACTTTGGATATCTAAGCACTCGTATAAGATTTAAGGTGAGTTTCCGCACCTAACCACAACTCCTGTCCCTGTGTTTACCAACTCTGGGTTTATATTTATGTTAAACACCCTTTTGTATATTGATTTGCTTGTTCTAAGGATTAATGCGGTTGTTAAAAACTTGCCTGCTTGTTGTTATTATAGAATGTAACACAGTCTTTGAAATGCGTTGTTGTTTGAATATTTTAAGTCTTAGATTCATGGAAAGTGTTACAATAAAGTGATTCAACCTGTCTTGGGGAAATAAACAAAGCCCACAGCCAGTGCTCAAACATAATTAACCATTTTAAATCTTACTGTTCTCCTTGACCATGAGTGTAGAAGTAATAAATTCATCTTCGACACAGTGTTGTTGGCCTGCCACATGAAATCAATTTTGATATTTCAATAATGGACCGTAGCCGGTCGATTTAAAAATATTTTCTCGCTATTCGCAGCAGCGAGCACGGTTTCTAAAAGTAGCGATTAAAATTGGTTTAATAATATTCATACCGCCAGGTTTTGCTTATATGGGTGCTTACGCAGCACATGTGCACGTTATGATTATTTTTTGGTGGAGCATGAACAAGCGGCTCAAGTTTCTTCAACGTTTTTTATTACCGTCTGAAATGGTTTCAGTGAGAATACTTTAATGGCGTATGTAAACAATCGAACTCGTAAACGAATCTTGCTTTAGCAAGACGGGCCCACCGCGATTCCAGGCATTTAATTTCATCGAAACTTTTTGAGACTAATGCCCTGTCCCTGTGTTTTGTAGATATCGCCGAATTTTTTCGACAGGCACCTATAAATTAACTTCACGCTGAACATAAACATTGTTGTCAAATAATTAAATATTGATATTGTCTGCACCTTTTCCTTATCGTTCAACTGTCACACACGGGGTGATTAAATAAAGAATTTATGTGATTGTCATTATTCATTAGTGTTATTTTTTGCTACCTCAAATCTGCCAAAGATTTACTATTTTAATTTTAATAGTATGTATATTCCTAAAGGTAGTTTACTAAAGTGTGAACTAAGAACCGTCCTTACATGTGTAAAATATTTAGTTTTATGTGTAATTTCTATATCCGTTTCCTACTTTATGAGGATTACCTACCACCAATTTATTTTTTTTCACCAAGCCAAATCAGATTCTTTTATCGTTTATCTTAATCTAATGTATTGATTACATTACTAATTTTAGGATATATGCCTCATTTCCCAGAAAAATGGATCTGGGACCAAAATTTATTTTTACCTCTATTCTTATCCTTTAAGACATTGATTTGTTTTTAACTATCGGTACGTCCACATTTCGGTTAAATTTGAATGTACAATTTAAGGAATCTAAATTTATTTTTTGCGTATTGTGTATCTTTTGAAAAAATATAATAGTTGTAGAAAAACAAGCGGGTACAAAAATATCTACTAATCTCTAACTTGATTTTTTTACGAATTCAGTTTAAATATTGAATGGTACAGAACCGTTATCCGTTTCGTAGTTCTGTTTACTTTTTAACAAACGTCATGTTGCAATAAGGTCTATTGATTTTCTTCAGATAAACACAAAAATGCGCAACTTCCTCGACGGTTTTCAACAATCGGTGTTTAGGAAACGGCACATTTTATGGTCAGGCAACCATTAACACCGAGCCGTTTAGGAAATGATTTGAAATTGCCAAATAACCTCTTCTGTTGTAAACAGGTCGTGGTCCGCAAAACACGGGTTACCCGTAGCAAGAGTTTGATGAAGTGTGTGTGAAAATCCTAAAGCCATGTCTATAGCTATGTCTTCACTAAACTCCACTTAAATATGTTCAATTTTTGGATTCTTCACAAAATTCTAGACATATTTCATGTACCTACAATGTCTTATACCTGTTTTCAACTGTTTCTGAAATATTAATTCTTTTCATATTTATTGCAAAAATTAACATTAAATAAAGAACATTATTTGATTACAGAAATTATGTTTAGAATTTTTTGAAGAATCAAACTGAATAATATACAGGGTGTTGCATTTAAAATAAGAAAGTTGATATTGACCACTGTTACACGACGCACCCTGTATAAAAAGTTTTTGTTGAAAAAAAATGCGCAATAAAAATATCAATCGACGTGTCCGAGCGTTTTTTCGAACACGCCCCCATTTATTTATTATTGAATTTATTCCATTTGGCCGATACACACTGTATATACCTATTTGTTACTATTAAAATCAGTTCATTCTTAATATTTTTTTTGCAAAAATTAATTACATGTTTTACTTCGTAAACTGTATCGCTTTATAAAATATACAGGCTGTTACAAATTCGCTTCACACTACAGGGATCCCGGAAACGGTAAGAGATACGAAGTAGCTTAAATGGGGGCAAAGTTGTATAATCTGGGGACCAACATTATGCCTCTAAAAAATCAAGGCTAACGTGATTAGTTTTTGAAATATTTGAAATAAATCGAAATTTTGGAAATTCGTTTTTGTTTCATTTCAGCCTTGTTTGAGGTGATATTGAAAAAAGAAGAACACTTTCTCATGGCAACTTTTTGCCCCCTATCGAATGGCATAATCAATTTTTATATGTAACGTTTCGTCCCTCCAGGACCATCATCAACTTCATTTTTTCAAATACAACCCTGCAAATTTTATTACATTTTTGCAAGCCTTCATGACCCCCAATACTGTACTGCCTCAGCCCGAACCAGATTCAGACGTTTCGAAAAATTCATCTTCAATGTATTCGTTCCAAATTTATCTAATTTTTTTATTTAGATTTCTATATTTATTGAATTGTGTCGTTAATAATAATAAAATTTCCAGGGTCGTATTTAAAAAAATTAAATTGATGATGGTCCTGGAGAGACGAAACGTTGCATATAAAAATTGATTATGCCATTCGATAGAGGGTAAAGAGTTGCCATGACAAAGTGTTCTTCTTTTTTCAATATCATCTCAAACAAGGTCGAAATGAAACAAAAACGAATCTCCAAAATTTCGAATTTTTTCAAATATTTCGAAAACTAATCATGTTAGCTTTGATTTTTTAGAGATCCTTGTAGTGAGAAGGGAATTTGTAACAGCCTGTATTCACATATTTAACATTTTCCTTGTACTTACTAGTCTTATGTTATATCTTATTTTCCTGCCGAAACAGACGATAAAAAAAATAAACGGCGCCCTCTGTATATTTTCTAGCGATAAAATAAACGTGAAACGTGACAAGATATTGCACAATACATCTTAGGGGCCTTGTTATCTTTGGTGGAACCTATGGAAACTATTTTCTGAAGAGTTTATCTACGTTTTCCAATAGAGCTCTGAAAATTGCCATCCGCCTCGCAATAAGCTGGTATATAAAATGTTCGCTAGTTTCCATTCGACGACAATGCGAAAATAGAATAAAAAGAAGTAAGTAAACATAAAATTTTAATATAGAATCTTTACCTACACCTCTCTTTTCTTTACCCGGTTCGCGTTTGTTCTGCGTAAACGAAAATATTTCTTCTTGTTGTTATTGTCTTGGAATGTGTTCGAAGTTATAAAGAGCTCCCCCGGCTTTACAGCCCCGACAATCGATTACGTGGGGGTAGCTTAGGGTTAAAAATAGATAAACAAAATTAATTTTAACATCTAGAACGTGGAATGCCGCCGTCCAAGGTTGACAATCGTTGTTGAGCGGCTGCCGAGAAAAGAAAACAATCCGTCACGGAAAATGAACTCGCTGTATAAGTAAGCGAGTAACAAGACGATTAACATCAATAAATAGGTCGATGTGTTGCTGTTAGCTGCGTCATCTGCACTTCCATATGCTCGACGGTGAATATGTAAATACAGGGTGGTCGATATGTCTTGGGAAACGCGCTTTTCTTGACAACTACCAAATTATATTCTGAAAGTGCCGTTATATTTTCTGCGGTTGTCGTTTAAATGTAGATTAAAGAAATTTTAGTTATACGAAAAATTAACATTTCCAAGACTCTTTATAGGCGAGCGGTTCACCCCTAAAAAGATGCTTCTAAATGAAGGTAACCGACTAAATTTTTAAAACAAAAACCTACAGCATGAGACTTTTT